AGAGAAGGGCGAGGAAGGAGAGAGGCTGTGTGTAATGGGACGGAACAGACAATTTGGTCCAAGTAGATGTTGTATTTGTTGCCTTTAGTGACAACATGGAATAGAGTATTTAAATGTGTTTTCAGTACATGTGTTTGGTCCGATGAGATTCATTTGGTCTTCCGATAATTTATGTTATTAGGTACTTTTTTCAGACCAAGAGTTTGTTTTCATACCTGACAGTTTCGACTGCTCACTAGTGCTCTTCCTCAGAGTCACGTGATGTTGCTGTGACGTGTCCGGTCAGCAGTATTGGGAAGGTTACTTTTCAAATGATTTCCCCTACAGATTACAGATTACTTACCCCAAAATGTAGTTTGTAACATAATCCATTAAATTACTTAAAGTGAGTAACGTAATCTGAATACTTCGGATTACTTGATTTGCTGTAGAGAAGCAAAGACGAGGACATCGTAACGTAAAATGTTTTGTTTGATAAAAGACAATGAAAAGGCCGAGTCTTTACTTAACCGTATTAAAAATATTATTAATAGAAGAGGCACGGTCCGCACAGCATGATTTAGTCCTGTTAAATCCTGTTTTAGACATGGTTTAGAACTGGTTTAGTCCTGGTTTAGTCCTTGTTTAGTCCTGGTTTAGTCCTGTTAAATCCTGGTTTAGACCTGGTTTAGACCTGGTTTTAGTCCTGGTTTAGTCCTGGTTTAGACCTGGTTTAGTCCTGTTAAATCCTGGTTTAGACCTGGTTTTAGTCCTTGTTTAGACCTGGTTTAGTATCCGGCAATGAGTGGAATTACTGAGAAAAAAAAGAAAAAGGGATATAGTCCCAAATGTGAAAACAGGAAAATACCGCCATGTAATCCATTTATTTCAACAAAGTAACTGTAATCTAATTACCACTCACTGAAACAGTAACTGTAACTGAACACAATTACTCATAATTTGTACTTTGATTACGTAACTCCGGTACATGTAATCTGTTATTCCCCAACACTGCCAGTCAGTTGATTTAAACAGGTTTTGGTGCAGTCTTCCTACCAGTGGAGGCAGGACGACAGCGCCACCTGCAGTCCAACTTCCTCAGGACAGTATCCCAGCTGTGTGAGAGTAAAAAACGGGGACTATAAACCGGGACGAGGGTTTTTTTTTACTCTCACACACCTAGGATACTGTCCTGAGGAAGTCGGACTGCACCAAAACCTGTTTGAATGAGCTGACCGGACACGTCACAGCAACATCACGTGACTCTGAGGAAGAGCACTAGTGAGCAGTCGAAACTGTCAGGTATGAAAACAAACTCTTGGTCTGAAAAAAGAACCTAATAACATAAAAGTACATGTGTTTGTTTTGGTACTTCAAACACGTATACGCACGTAACGCTGTAAATCAAACATCTGAATATATTTGAGTTAAGAGTTCAATAGTATTAAACAGAATCACTTTTGTGGAGCTTTCTCCCATGTGAACATTCTAACACATTGTTCCCTGTTGTTTCAAACACATGTCTGGAGAGACTTTCGGCATCATCCAGGCATGTTTGAGTATTTTAGTGATCTCTCCTGGGTCCTATCCAAACTCTCCCTGTGGTTAGCAGTACGAGCCTGTACAAGGCTCCACCCACAAGCCTACGTCACCTGAGCTCTCTCACCATAGTTCTAGATAAGTATTAAAAAACATGATACAAAACTGCACAGCAACTTGACAAACGTGATGCAGTGTGCAGGAGTTTCATGAGCAGATACAAGCTGATTGTGTTGTGGAAGCGCTCTGAAGGGGGAGTGACTTAAGGTGAAGAGCAAAGGGAGGGAGACTCAGAGAAATAAAAATGAACGTGAAACTTTGAAATAATGTTAATACGTGGTAAGGCTGGAAAACTCATTATCATGATTATTTTGGTCAATATTGAAATCACGATTATTCAGACGATTATTTTTTTTAGTTACATGATGCATTTATTCAGCATTTATCTTTCAAAAATACAAAACAAAAAAACTAAACTAAACAAAACCCACACTTTGTTTTTAGTAATTTATGCAAAACTTTTAAATAAATAAAAATAAATATAGGCTACAAATATGAACCTTAAAGCAGTTTTGTGAAAAATCCCTCAGTCGTCCAGGTAGAATCCATGAGGAGAAAATTCAGTTTGTCGACTGGGCAAAAGTTAGTTTGGTTGAAGATGTTTTGCAGCTCATCCAAGATGCTTCTTCAGTTCTGGTCAGAATGCTGGGCCTCCCTAAGGAAGTGTCCACCAGCAAACTGAATTTTCTCCTTGCCTTAGAGCAGTTTTGTGATGTATAAAACATAAAATGAAGAAAAATATACTTTGATTATGAAATAAAGCAGAAAATCATAAATGTATCCAAAACAAACTATATATCCAGCAGTTCCACAATCTCTATATTTAAAAAATAATATAAATATATTTATTTATATTAAAAATATCGAAAAATAAACTTTGTTCAGCTTTAAATCGTTTCAACTCAATTATATGAATTTGGAGATCATTTGACACACAAATCAAAATTGCAATCAAAATGTGATTCATTGCACAGCCTTCTGTGAATACTATATCCACAGGTTTCTCTGAATACAGCATTTTCCAAACAGTCAAAGATATGATGATGTAAATGTGTGATGTGTTACAGTTATTATGGCACAGAAGGAAAACAGACACTCTTTAAGATTTCTTGTTCCTGCTGATTTCATAGATCTGAGACCTTTGTTCTGCAGCTCAGCTCCTTTGATCATGACATTATTTGATTTGATTGTAAACATACTCACATGATTGATGAAGTGTCTTGCTCCAGGGCACAGTGGCAGGAGATGTGCTCAAATGAGGAGCCGTAGGAGCGTGTCCGTCTCCAGCACATGTACAGCAGCCCGTGTCCCGGACTCGCTCTTCAAATATTTATCACAGAAAGGTCAAAAACATCCAAACTTCATTATACATGTGCTCGTCCAAGTGTGAGAGCGGACTGAACGAGGACAGACCCAGGACTGAACTAGGACAGACCCAGGACTGAACTAGGACAGACCCAGGACTGAACTAGGACAGACCAGGACTGAACCAGGACTGAATCAGGACTGAACCAGGACTAACCCAGGACTGAACTAGGCATGAACCAGGACTAAGCCATGACAAAATAGAGGCAGGGGGGGTAGATGTGGTCAGCAGCTCTGGATACAGACCTGACTGTTCACACTGCACACAGGGGGGCACAGGGTCCTCTTCTGCAACAGGGTGGCTCTGGGGTCCTAAACTTTTTAAACGGCTAAACACTGCTCTAGAGTTATAATCTAAGACACCCGAGGGCCATTAGGTTATGATTTGCACATTTGAAATTGCAATATTGACCCAAAATAACAGAGTGGTTGGATGCTTTTGCAGCTACTCGACTCACACTCATCCTCTGTCACCAGTGTGGTTCCTCCTTTAGCCGTGTTTGTTTCTGGCCACAACATTACCCTGTCCTCCTCTGTCACAAACTTCAGGCTCCATCTGTACCTCCATCTGTATCTCTCATTTGAAAAACATATCCATCACCTCTGCAAGGTCTCCTCCCTCCATCTCTAAAACACTGCCAAACTCTGGCCCTCCCTCTCCCAACCTGATGCTGAAAAACTGATGGATGCCTTTATCTCCTCCAGGCTGAAGCACTGCTAAAACTTCAGCACATTCAGCACTTGGGTCCTGACAAGGAGGCACAGATACCACCACATAACTCCTGTCCTCTGCTCCCTTCACTGGCTGCCCATGCAACACAGACTCCTCTCTAACTCTGCATCAGCGAGCTCCTCACTCCAATCACCACCTCACCACATCTCTGCTCCACCACCTCCTCCTACTCCACCACCTCCTCCTACTTCCTCCACCAGCACAGGACCAGGCTCTCCACTGTGGGAGATAAAGCCTTCCAGGACGTCACAAAGTGTGGAGGCCTTTAAAAAAGCCTAAAGACATTTTTATTTTATTTTTTTTTTAAACTTTGTTTTTATTAGAACATTTTAGTTATGTATATCACATATCACATATTTACATACACAAATTATTAGTATTGTGAAACAAAATAAATCAAAAGACCGACCAAAAAAGTAAAAATAAAAATAAATAGAAATGAAATACGAGGCCATCAAGCTAGCTATCTGCAAAGATATATACAACATTTTTACATTGAGTTGTTTTGATTGTAAGATTTCCACTTTTTCCAATATAGTTCTCCTTTGTCTGAGGAGTGTCTTAAAGAAAATGTTATTCGTTCCATAATCTGAATTTCGTTGATTATATCAGTCCATTCTGAAACAGTAGGAGGTTTGTCCTGGAGCCATGTGTTCGTGTGCTTTCTTGCTGGCTGCTTGTAGTATCTGAAGAAGGTATGTCTTTTTTTTCAGCCCGGTTGGTAAGTTTCCCAAATAAAACACGCTAAAACTTTCAACTAGAAAAACTAGAAAACTTTCTAGTTGCAATCCTGCAATAAGCTTGATGGTTTTAATAATTTCTGTCCAATAGGGGGCGATCTTGGGACATTGTCAGAATATATGAAAATGTCCAACTTTTGATTGTCCACAATTTCTCCAACATTTACCTTGTTCTGCATTCTTGGTCTGATGTTCTTTAATTCTAGGGGTAATGAAGTATCTCACAGTGTTTTTCCACATAAACTCTCTCCATAAGTCAGAGCTTGACGTTGTTACAATTGTTTTACATATATTTAACCAATCACCATCAGTTAAAGTGATCCCTGCATCCTTTTCCCTTAAAGACATTTATATATTTATTTATTAGAAATGTAGCATTTTATCTCAATTCGATATTTGTCTTCTGTCAAATCTGTTTCTGTTGCAGGTTCCTCACTCCAAATGGCTGCAACACCGGCCACAGCACAGGTTCCTCTGCTGTTCTATCCTCCCTCTGCTGTTCTATCCTCCCTCTGCTGTTCTCTCCTCCCTCTGCTGTTCTCTCCTCCCTCTCCTGTTCCCATCAGTCTGTGATTGGACTCACCTGTTGCAGTCTTGAGCGTCAGGAGCTGCTTCAGTGCTGCGCTCTCTAAACGTGACTCTTTTTAGTTCAGTACGAAGCAAAAAAAAAAAAAAAAAAAAAAAAAAAAAACAGCCAACATTATCATATATTTTAACCATGGGTTTAGTGTTAACGCTCGGGTCGGTATCCTCGTCTACTCAAATGCAGATTCAGTTACAACATATTTTCATGTTTTGGTGTGCCCCTGTAGGTGGATACTCGTCTTAGCTTCAGTCCACGCACAAAAGGAGCCACCCATAAGTGAGTCGTTACTTCATATTCAGCCTTAAAAAAAGCAAATAAATCCATGTCAAACAGTGACTGAAATATACGTGTCCGTTCACAGAAATCCAAAGTGAGTGTCTGGGAAACCTGTTTGGTTTTGCTGTGAGCCCAGTGACCGGGAGAAGACTGGAGGTAGCAGCTCTTTACAGTGAGTACAAAACAAACAAACAAATATATGAAGTTTAAAAACGTGACAACTGGAACGAGTTCACTGTAAACAGTTTGTAGTGGTCCAAAGTTACTCCTCACTTTTTCTTATGCATTTAGAGCAACTAATTATTCACCATGATCAGTATCTAAGTGCTTTTCAAACCTTTCACACTGTGGAGTTTTGCTGTCACAGTAACGCTAGCATTACAACTAGCATTCGTAAGTGCACTTCCTGATAATAGGGCAATAAAACACTTTGTAATTAGATGGATGGGCAAGACACATTATGCTCAAATAAAGTTTACATTGGAAAAATTGGTTACAGGACCTAACTTGTTGCAACTAAAATGTTTTTTTACAAGTTGTGTAGTACTGTAGATGAGTACAGATGTATCTGTATTTTTCTTAAAGGTCCTGTATTATGCAAAGTTTACTCTTGTGAGCTTTAAGACATTTTATAATGTTCCCTCCTCGAAAACACACCTGGAGTTTTCTTTTGTTTCATTCCCACATGTCTGAGTCCACATCTGTGCATTATTAGTCTGAAGCTCAAAACGCTCAGTTCCACCTTCTGATGTCATGAAGTGAGTGTTCAAGTTGATAGTTACCTTTTACCTTTAGTTCAGTCGAGATTGGCAAGTCGAGGTCTGAAATAATCCAAATAATTCTAGTGAAGTTGTATGGAGTTTAAAAACACAGTGGAGCACTTCCTGTATTTCCACATGACATTGGAAGGTGGTGTGTTTTCTGATCTGAATAGATCAGAAAATATAATACAGGTCCTTTAAGTAAAATTTAAAGTGGATACTTTATACATTATCACTTTCTTTCAAATGTGAAGTATCTGTACTTTTCACTTTTCAGTCCTTTTAGAAAGTACAAAGTTTTGAACAAGTTCCTAGTTTGAGGGGGAAAAAAAGTACAACCATCTAAGAAAAACTGACTGAATTGTTTATTTTTAAGTAGATTTTTTTCAGGTGATACTTTTACTTGAGTATTTTTTTCTACTGTATCTGTACTTTTACTTATGTATCAAAATGACTTCTTCTACCACTAGATCCAGACTGCACTTTTCAATCCCAGAGCCCCAAACCAAGACCATACACAAACTCACTGGACACACACGTTTCTTGTCAAAATTGATCAAATGGTTATTAAGAATGTAAACGGCACAAATAAATCGGCATTAAACTGTGAAATGATCGTATTTGTCTGGTCTGGTTTACTTCTGGTTTAGTTCATCTGTTACTCCAACACTAGACAGATACTTTATTGATCCCAAAGAAAATGAAAATTTACTATGATTAACCTGCTTGCGAGGTGACATTCCATGTCCCTAGATCCAGTTTCCATGTCCAGAGATCCGCCTTTGTCTGCCACCCAGATCTGTTAGCACCCGCCCCTTACAGATCTTCCGTGGTGGGTCCACAGGAGGACAAGTCCATGAAGATGCTGGAAAAGAACTGCTAACCTCGACTGAGGATATTGTCTGGCTGTGGAAGGAATATTCTCCTCAATGCCACTGTCATGTCTGCTGAGGAGGAAGCAGAGGCTGAGGACTCAGAGGCAGATTCACCCATCAACCCATAACTGAAGTCACTGTTTAAAGGTCCTCGGTGGAAAGGCTCCATGAGTGGATGAGCTCTAGCTTGAGTATCTGAAGTCTCTGGATGTTGTGTCTTGGTTGACAGGTCTCTGTAACGTCACAGCGTCAGTATGTCTGGACTGGCAAACCGGGATGGTGGTTTAAGAAGGGGGGGCCAGAGAGTGTGTTCTATCTACAGAGGAATCACAGTCCTTAACCTCCCCGGTAAGGTCTATTCCAGGGACTGGAGAGAAGAATCCAGTCAATAGTTGAACCTTGGATTCAGAACTAGCAGTGTAGTTTTTGTCCTGGTTGTGGAACACTGCACCAGCTCTACACTCTCCATCGGGTGCTCGAGGGTTCATGGGAGTTTGCTCAACCAGTCCACATGTGCTTTGTGGATCTGGAGAAGGCATTCGACCGTGTCCCTCATGGTGTCCTTTGCTAAGGGCTGTCCGGTCTCTGTATGACCAGAGCAGAAACTGTGTGCATTCCTGGCAGTAAGTCAGACCTGTTCCTGGTGCATGTTGGACTTTGTCAGGACCACCCCTGTCACCGGTTCTGTTCATTGTATTTATGGACAGAATTTGTAGGCGCAGTCAAGGGCCAGAGGGCGTCCAGTTTAGGGACCACGGGATCTCATCTCTGCTGTTTGCAGATGAATCTTCTCCTGATGACTTAATCGGACCAGGACCTGCAGTGTGCACACAGGGGTGTGAAGTGACTTAAGATCACCTCCTCCAAATCCGAGGCCATGGTTCTCAACCAGAAAAAGGTGGCACACTCTCCAAGTGAGAGTCTTTGTCTCAAGAGGAGGAGTTCAAGTATCTTGGGGTCTTGTTCACAAGTGAGGGAAGGATGGAGTGTGAGATTGACAGGTGGACATTGGGTCCCCCCGGAGGAGCTGGAAGTGTCCAGGTTAAGGAAATCCTGCTTAGACTGCTGTTTCCATGACCCAGCCCTGGAGAAGTGGAAGAAAATTGTATCAAACACAATTACAAATACCCCAAAGTGATTGTAAACAATCACTGGGGTGACTACTGTAGGCAGTAATTTAAGCTCAGATCATTGAGACACAAACAAAAGCACACGACTGCATGCAGGTCAGAGGTCGTATAGGTCAGTAGAACGAGCACCACTGAATGGATTTAACAGAAACATTAAGATTTGGACTAGTCTGGGGCTCTGGAGCCTGGACCATCTCTCATGCCTCCTGCTAACAATTTGTCCCTCTGCTCCTGTCCCTCTGCTCCTGTCCCTCTGCTCCTGTCCCTCTGCTTCTGTCCCTCTGCTCCTGTCCCTCTCCTCAGATGGATCACGAGTGGTCCTGACCCGGAGCCTGGCCTCTCAGTGTGGTTTCAGCTCCAACATAGACGCCTCTGGGACAGTGCGCATCTACGCCTCTATGCTGAACTGTTTCACCCACAGCCAGGTCTGCTAACTGTTTGTGCAGGGACCAGCAGAGAAAGGAAAGCTTGCTACTTGGACAAGTAGTTTAGGAAGAGCAACCAAAAGTTATTAAATGTCTATTTAATAAGAATATTAATCTTAATAAGAATATAAGTGTAAAAGAATATTGTAACAGAATTGTATATTGTAAAGAATCATAACATCAGCAGGTGCAGCATCAGTTTGGTTTTGTCGAGTCAACCTTAAAAACAAAACAAAAGTGAGACCAGATGCTACAGTTTGAGATGAACATTGATCACTGACAGGGACAGGAGCAGTCTGACAGGGACTGTTCTTCTTAAAGAGTGGAGTGAAAAGACATTAGTTGTACTCTACCAGTGTATGAGTTTGTGTCCTGTATGTGAGGGCGGTGTGTCTTACAGAAGGACCAAGACTTCAGTTTGGAGCTGGAGCTGAGATTGTCCAAAGACCAGGCCTACAATGTCTCTAAGAGCTGCCAGTACAGGGACTGGGCCTCGAGGGAGGTGCTCTGCTACAGGGACCACATGGAGGTAGGTCCTGGTGGAGTGTACTGAAACAGATCTGCAAGGGTGCCCATGTGGGTGTATACTGTGTGTGTGCTTGTATAGGATGTGTGTTGTGGTTGTATAGTCTATACTGTGTTTGCAGGTGTCGGTGCAGAGGGTGCTGCCAGATGACGATGTCCTGCCAAAGTCCTCCTTCTATGAGAGCAGGTCTGGAGATCCCAGACGAGCTGTGGAGGTTAGACGTCCTGACAGGGAGATCTGTGTGTTTGTATTGGTTGATCTTGTCACGGTGAAGAAACACATCTTTACTCTTAACGTATGATTCCCAGATGAGCATTTCATATATTACAAACAAATCTTACTCTTGAGCTTTAAGACCTGTTAGAATGCTCTTTTTCCCCTCAAGTGTTTGAACAAAATGTGTCTTGTCCAGTGGAGTATAGCCTATAAGCAGCTCTTGGGGTAAAATATGTGCTGTGTATTGTCAAAGTCAAAATGAAGCAATGATAAAAACCTGTCATACGCACTTTAATGACACACTGTGGAGAATTTTAAACAAACTGATGGAGCCCAGCTCATAGTGTGATAGTGATGGTGCAACTTTTAAATTGGTGGTATATTCATTTCTGATTAAATAAATAAATAAAGCCCATGTGTGTCTCAGAAGCAGCCTGTGGATCCAGGCTTCCTCTCCACCACCGTTCTGTTCCTCTCCTCGACAGCGGAGGAGCGCCCCCTGCTGGTGTCTGAGGTGCTGAGCAGAGGATATGGCTTCAGCCTCACTCACAGTAGATTGGTCCTCCGCAGCCCAGTGTCCACAGCCGAGACCTACATCCAGCAGGTCAAACCAATCAAAATGGACATAAAACCATGTTCTACCGGTGCTTCCCCTTTTGTTGTTTTGGAGGTTTGTGAGAACATCCCTGTGTCCTCCTGTAGGTGTCTGGTGTACCCATGAATGTGCTGAGGACCTCCACTCTGTTTGGGACCAAGTGGCTGGTCTCTCAGATCGATGCTGCAGCAGCCTGTCCCATCATCCAAGGTCAATTACCCGCTCCTCTGGCTCTTCTCCTCTGGCTCTTCTCCTCTGGCTCTTTCTACTCCTCTGGCTCTTCTCCTCTGGCTCTTCTCCTCTGGCCCTTCTCCTCTGGCCCTTCTCTCTGGCCTTCTCCTCTGGCCCTTCTCCTCTGGCCCTTCTCCTCTGGCTCCTCTGGCCCTTCTCCTCTGGCCCTTCTCCTCTGGCCCTTCTCCTCTGGCCCTTCTCCTCTGGCCCTTCTCCTCTGGCCCTTCTCCTCTGGCCCTTCTCCTCTGGCCCTTCTCCTTTGGCTTTAATCTCATCCTCATATTTGTAAGTGCCATTTGACTCTTGATTCTTGGCTCTCTTTGCCCAGGTGGTGTCTCCTTCAGTGAGAGCTCCATCCGCTGGTCACTGCCCTGGCGCATCTCCCCCCTCCTCTCCACGGGTCAGACCACCCTGCTGGACTTAGGGCTGGGTGTGAATGGGCAGAGACTGGAGCCCGCTGACCTGGAGGCCCGTGGGTACTCGATCACTGTGGGAGACCCGTACATCGTGGTGCATATCCCCATTGGAGCCAAAGGAGGTCACTACAAGGTATTCACCTCCTGACAATGGAAGGATCTCTACTATTTTCTAAAGCAATGTTCAAAGGAGAATCCACAAATGTTTTCCCTGATCATTTTTATTAGTGACATGGTCCATTCTCCCACCGTATTTCTCCAACCACAGCACATCTGCAGCTTAGACATTTGCCCTGTCCCCATCTAACAGTCTCAGTGTAACAGTAGAGGGAGTAGGATAGGAGGGCATCTCACACACAAGAATACAGGAGGATAAGAGCATCTGACACACGGGGAATATAGGAGTATGAATGAAAACAGATGAATAAATTTTTATCTTTAGTGTTTTACAGACACTACTTTTTGTAGATTCTAATACTTTCTAGTGCATTATTCACTCACTCCACTCCACTGGTGACATACTTCTGTAGCAGCGGCTGCCCTGAGACAGACTGAATGAATCGAGACTGCTAATCTGCACCATTGGTCCCCTACCACCTGCACATGCACATATTCACACTAAGCCATACATGTGAAGTGTGTTTAACAGCAACACAACTGCTGCCACACTGTGGCACCTGGTATTCCCAGCTGGCATCCAGTTCTGCTTGGTTTCTGAGCTCAGAAGATTGGGCATTGACAAGTCAGTATGGGCATTTAAATGATTTTTGTACATGCGTGACAGTTGTGTTGTGTTTTCAGAGCGTGGTGCAGGAGGGCATGTACCTGATGTCCTACAGTGTGGAGCCCATGCTGGAGCTGCTGTGGACAGAGGACGTGTCCACTGAACACACCCGTTACAAGGTCCTTTTCCCCATCAGCACGCCCCTGCTCTACCTGCCCCCCCAAGTCTCCCATGGTAAGAACTCCCTGCTCTACCTGCCCCTGGAGACTCCTGCACTATAACTTGATGTGATGGCCCTCTGACAGAGGAGAGCATGGGGAGGGACACAGAGCATCAACAACAACGTGAGACTTATAAAAATATGCTAAGAGAGATATTGAACCTGAGGGAAATTCAAGTTTTGCTGCTGCAGTACTTGCACTGTGCCTCTCAGTCACCTTTGTGTCTCAAAGGTCTCAGGTCAGTTTAACAGGAGGACTGGTCAGGGAGGTCAGCAGATCTGTGTCAGGACAGTTTGAGGAGAGGAAGGCCTCATTCTTACTCCGCTCTGGTGTTTTGGTTGGTGATGAAATCAGCATTCCCTCAAAGTATTTCCTCTGGCAGTTCCCCGAATCTGGAAAGTCTTTTGCCACATTTGCTGCCACATGTGGTGTAAAAATCCTGTAGCATCCTGTAGCACCTTCATTGGCTTCTTATCTAGCCTCTTGCATGGTCCCCATGGATCCAGGAAAAGTGAATACATCGTTTTTGGAAAATATAGCATTTTCAAGACAATAAAAAGTACCATGGTGATCTAAATATATTGTGTTAGCAGTTGACAACCTATACAAGAGTAATACCCCCTCTTTAAGCTGTCTTTGCGCCCAGTGATCTGGTATAGTGTGTGAGATTGATAAAAACTATAAATCATGGTGATGTTGCAGTTTTTATTTGAGTTTAAATTTTGTAGAGCCAGTATCTACATGTATTATCATAATAACTTGTTTAGCATTAGCCAACAGTGTTTCACTTCAGTCTTAAATCTTTTTGGCATTGTTTGCTAATGTGTGCATATTGTGTCTCCATAGTACGTTATGAACATTCCACCATAGAGATACATGTAGAACACCCCCAGTGTGATGTCACTGCGAAGTATCAATACAATCTAAAGTACTTTTCACTCTGCTGCCTTCTATGTGACATGACCCTCTCTCCCTCAGATCTTCAGGAGAACATGTTTAAGGTCTCCATTGGCCCTTTTGCTCCTGACGTGATCCTTCTCAACATCTCATTCCCCTCTGAGAGCCTAAGCCTGGAGCAGAGCATCTCCAGAGGGTTCACAGTCCAGGAACAGACCCAGGAGCACAGCAGCCTGAAGACCTTCTCCGTGCACATGCCCCTCACAGACAGAGCTGTGCTAAAAAAGGTGAGTCAAATGTGCTAACATGTTTGATTTGAAATTTCATAAACATGACCCAGCTCTTACTGCTAACAGTAAAGCTGATTTATTCTTAACTCCAAACACATTTGACATGATGACGAACTGTTTATTATAGTTTGGTTATTGGTTCAGTCAGGAAACGGAATGATTAATTTGGGTTGCCAGTTTCAATGCTGAAATCCAGTTGGTTTAAACCTAAGAGAACTCTCTCTGGTTTGAATGGTCACTGTCTAAACCCCAGCACCTGCAGCCAGTCATGAGTCAGTGCTAGTGCAGCCTCTGCAGCTCAGGGAGGGACATGTTCTGTCTATATACTGAGAATGAGACAAACTTTGATGTCCCTATGTCTAGGGATGGGCATTCGATGAAATTTTCTTAATCGATTGTCTGAAGAATTAACGATCGATTATCGATTCATCATTAACATTTTTATATTAAAATGATCATCATTATTATTATTATTACTATCTGCACTACTAATCTGCATAAATAAATTCAACTTTACGACATATAAACCGTAACCAATCTAGAGCTACATCAGCCCGTTTGAGATTATAATGTGTTTAATGCGCAACTCTCACAGAAACAAAACTTAAAACCGCATGGCTAATTTGCATAAACTAAGGGAAGGAAAAAATACAGCTCTTGTGCGCGGATGTGGTTCAACTTCTATTGGATTAAAAGACACGACTCAGTGGAATACAGGTTAGTGTGACCATATTTGCAGTTGTTAAAACCAGGACACCGTACGGGGGGGTGGGAGGTGGGGACTCGTCATTGACATTGCTCTACTCTCACCTGGCAAAATTTTTTCCCACTGGACACCGAAACATATGTTCCTGCTTTGTACACTGTGCATGTGGACTCACACTTGTCCCGACCACAATGGAAAGCCTGGAATTTCTTGTACAAGTCATCGTTAAATACACATTTGCGTTTTGGCACTTTGCAGACTGACCGACTGTTTGTGTCTCGCTCCTTCTGATGCAGAGAGACACATATACAGACCCGTTTGGTCACGCTACGCACAGCAACTTTCGGTTTGTCGATTAAAATAAACGTAATTGATGAAATTCTTAATGATCAATTATCGATTAATCAACTAATCATGCCCATCCCTAGTGTCTTCTATCTGCAGGTTAAGCCTCTGGCATCTCAGGAAACTGTAAAAGCTACATAGAGTTCTTTAAAACCAAACACAAGTTTGACAAGATGAAAAAGTCTTAAAAGCACAAGATGGTCTACAGCGCCTCTTATCTGGAGGTACTCAGGGTACCATGCCAACATGCTACTGGCCAATCTAATCATAAGTGACATTTATTCATTAGTTATTAATATTTCCATGTTAATGTGAGCGAGCCATCAGAATAAATGATTGATCAAATATAAGGACATGACTCAGCTCACAGTGATCTGGTACAGTGTGTGTGTTATTCACTCTCAGCTCACAGTGATCTGGTACAGTGTGTGTGTTATTCACTCTCAGCTCACAGTGATCTGGTACAGTGTGTGTGTTATTCACTCTCAGCTCACAGTGATCTGGTACAGTGTGTATTAACTCTGTGATTCACTCCCTGCCCACAGAAGCACTTAGACCTCACAGTTTACTCTGCCCATGTGATGTTTGGGTTTCTGGTGTTACCGGAGCTCCATCCATTTTCTGTCTCTGCGTATCTGGAGGCTCGGGTCATGGACACAGGTTAGCACTGTTAACTCCCAGCAACACAAACATTACACAACACCTAACTATTTTTTATAAATATGTCATCTGAATTGATGCACACATTTCTCTGGAAAAATATGTTTGAAAAATACTTTTTAATTGAATGTAAACAGCACACAGGACAGACTTACTGTAACTGTTTTAGTGAAATGTGTAGTCTAACCTGTCATATGCACTTTAAAGGGCCTATACAACTGTTTTCTTTTTCTTTTTTTTCTGTTGGTGGTTCTTCATCACAAACATACCATACCTGGAGTTTTGATTAGTTTAATTTGCCCATACTTGACATAAACATCCTGCATATTTAGACAGAGTGAAAACATTCTGTTCTACCTTGTGTGGAATCTGAATCGTCCAGGTAGAATCCATGGTAAAGGAGAAATTCAAAACAAAAATTTTTCAGCTCATTCAAGCTACAGTTCCTTGGGATGTCATGTGGTAATACAGGAAGTTCTCCACTGTGTTTTTAAACTCTACAGACCTTGATTTCAGCCATGAAATAACATCTACTGAACTAAAGTTAACGGTTACCTTGAACACAGAGAAAAATCCCACACACCATCCCACTTGCAAATTGTGAAATTTATTGGGACAAACCGTGCAACGTTTCGGCACTAGGCCTTAATCAGGCAAACAGAATGAGAGCTCAGGTGGCCATCTTAAATAGGGTGTGGCAAGCACCCAGGGGTGACAGGTCATGAAGAAACAGTGTAATATAGGTTAAGGGTTTGTGTATAAGGTTAGGGATTAGGTTAGGCAAGTAGTGACTCTGGTTAAGGTTATGAAGCATCAATGTAAAGTCTCCACACAGTATGGAAACATGACGTGTGTGTGTTTGTTTGTGTGCCAGTGCCCCCTTCAGTGAGTGGGTCCTGTGATGGTCAGAACTTCCTGGTTCTGGTGCAGTCCGGCTCTCAACATTTCCAGATGATGGTGGGCCAGAGTCCACTGACCTCGACTCTGGCTAAACGCTACAGCTTTGTGCAGAACGACACGCACTTCTCCCTCATGGTGCCCATCCTCGCACCGGACGTCATCTATGAGGTACACAGAATCACTTTCTTTGTGCAGATGGGGCAATTTAAGCACATTGGGCAGCAGAATACAGTAATAATAGAAAAGCTCAAACAAAAGTAGAGTCGTCAAATCCTGTGTCAGGACAGTTTGAGGTGAGTAATAACCCTCAAGAAAAGAGTCCCTCCTCTGTGGCCTCTGGTTACTGCAGCATCACAACAGCCTTGAAGGAGAACAGGTGAGGTCAGGAGACCGTACAGGAAAGCCTCTCTTAAGTTTCAAAGCATGAGCAGCCAACCATATGTCCTGATTGCCCAACAGCAGTAGCCTTATGGGCTTCACAAACCATGAAATAAACAAGAGAATAAGGGCAAATCCAACTGACAAATTAAGCAGATTGGGCCTAGTTTATCTCGGGTTTAGACCTTGTATGGTCCATGCTACTAAACCGCAGGTTTGTTGTGGTGGCACGTCCGGTTGAGGGGGAATCTCGTTCACTTCAATGTAGGATTTGAGAAACGTTTAGGAAGACACAGACAGATAGTTTATTGATCCTGAGGGAAATCCAAACTTTGCTGCAGCAGCTGTTTACATTTCCACTGTGCCTCTCAGTCACCTTTGTTTCTCCATCAAAGGACTCAGTGTAGCTTAGTGTTTTGGTTGGTGATGAACTGGGTCATTCCCTCAGACTGCAAAATACTGGAGTACTTCCTCAGGAAGGTTGTTTGCTGTTACAAAGGGTGTAAAAAGCTTGTAGCATCTCAAATGTCCATAGCTACTCCTTAGCTAGCCACTTGCACAGTCTCTATTGATATAGAAAACAGCTCATTTTGCGGAGTCCAACAGCCTGTTGTGCCCTTTGACCTGCATCCTGCACTTCTTAGTTGGTTAAAATCCTCCGATGATAAAACGTACTACTTGGTGTGTGATCCAGGTAGCCACAAAAGCAGCCAACCACTCATGCCATGGGGATGTATTGTCTTTAGTGCAAATTAGAATTTTAGTTCTTTTCACTTGGGATGCAGAATTTCTGGGCCGACTACAACCAAGAAATAGTATTCTTACATAAATGTATATTATGTCCAACCAGATTATTGGCTGAACCAATATTCGGAAGTCGATATTCTATCCTGCAAACTTTTCAGTATTGCACCAATATCAGATACCAGTACTGAACCTGCATATTCCTACTGTTCACCTGAACTTGGGCCAGATATCAAACATGGACATTTGGGGTATTTCAGTTTGGTTTTAAAAAAAGGTCTGTATTGTAGTTAAGAGTGAGCAGAATGTAAACTAATGATCTCTGTATGTGACAGTTTATTGCACAAAGGTGTACTGTTGATGCCTGCTCCTGTGTTCATGTCCCAGGCCATAGAGGCGTCTTGGGTGACGGCGCGGTTGGAGCTGGTTCTGGTCTCTCCTAAGGATCACCGCCGCATCAAGGACTTCTCCCTGAGCTGCCGCTTCTACGCCACACTCACTGGTTTGGCCCTTTCCTGTTGTTTTGTCTTTAGTTTCATTCACACATGTACATATATTATGCACGATTGATTTTTGTGAACTTTGTTAGAACATTGTTACCGTCTCAGAAACGTGTCCAGAGCTGATTTGTGTCATTCACACAAGTTTAATCCTTTATTATTAGTCTATCTGTGTCTCTAAAGCTCTAAATGCTGTTTCACCTTGTGATGTCATGTGGTGGTATCTGCTTTGGTCAGTTGTGTGTGTTGTCTCTGTGTGCAGAGTGCTTCCCTAATGGCACCATCACAGCCCTGGCTCTGAAGCTTGAGTCTGTCCCTGGTCTGGACCCTGGTCAGCTCACTCTGCTGGACCCTGCGTGTGGACCCCGCTACAGCACAGCGCGCTACGCCTACTTCAGCTTCACCGCCAGCTCATGTGGCACCACCCGCAAGGTACACAGTCCAGACAATAAAAACGACTCTACACACACATTGTGACACATGCTAATACTGCAACTGCAATAAAATATGTGGAAATGTGCCTTGGCAAGCAAACTGCTCCAGTACATGCAGCTTTGCTGGGAACAATGGCACAGACTGTTGGGCAAAGATTTGGACAAAAATGTTGTTTCTTCTCAGCTTTGATCATTTCTGAAACAAGAAATGAGTGCACTGGTCCAAATATTGTCTATATTTTTATTAAAACAATATTCCTATTCACATGAAGGATTAATCTAGAAATGGTAGAAATAAATCAACTTTTTGTGACTCGACTCAAGTTTCAGAGAGTAAGGTTTGGACTTGACTAGTTATTGCTCTCAAGTCCTTATACTGCAGATATCTGTTTTTAAAAAGATTTTGATTTTACATTTCATAAACTAAACATGTTCAAATCAAATATGACAATTGTAATGCTGATTTTATTTTTAATTACAAAAACAGTGGACATGAAATCTCATTAATTAATGTTATGGTTTGGTTCACAAGATGATTATCCAATCAGAAAGCAGAATGAGCCTCACGTTAGACTCTCATTTGGTTTGCCAGTTTCAATAATGAAATCCAGTTGGTTTAAACCTAAAAGGACTCCCTGAATCATCATTACCTCATTACCCCAGTACCCACAGCCAATCATGAGTCAGAGTTCTACAGCCTCTGAGTGCATTCTGAAGGTTCTACACAGTAAGAGCACAGGCTACATACAATTCTTTTCTCCAGTTCAGTGAAACAAGGTTGAGTATTGTTTTTTGTTGTACTTTTAAAATGTCTCATCTTCACTGTTCAGAATGATTTACCTCCTGCCCCAGTACTCATCACATCTGAGACACATAGCGATTGCCTCATAACGTTTCTCCAGCCCAGTCCTCTCCTCCTGACTGGGCTGTGCTAAAGGCAGATGAGCCTTATATGAGCAGTGTGGAGCCAGACTTCACACAAACGTTCCATTCAGCTGAACACATTAGTGTGTGCTGTTTATCACAAACATTTCACTTTTGGGACGCATTTTGAGGCAATAACACTTGTCAAGTCTGTTTTCAGTTTGTGAGCAACAGCATGGTGTATGAGAACGACATCTCTCTGCCTGATCAGCTGCTGGCTCAGAGGGATGCAGAGGACACAGACTATCAGTGAGTTTCATTCTTACTGTCTGTTTATTCACTAAATTCATTGTGACTACGGACATTTGTCTTTCCAGTTTGAAGGTGACGTGTTTGTACGACACCAACACCACGTCTGCATTATCTCTCCTGGTCAGTCCCCGGGTGAGCGAGCCCTTTGCAGAGAGCGCCACAGGCCGGCTGCACGTGCACATGAGGATGGCTCGCGGTGAGGACTCACTGTTATTACTATAATTATGGTACATTTGAGTTTTATCAAACATATGTCACTCATGGGTTCTTAAACTGACTGGAGGTTCTCCTTTGGTGGTACTCACAAGTCTCTGGCTGTAGTTGTGCTTTAAAACAAGTCCACAGTCCCAGTTTAAAGCGTAGTCTACTGTACATTAGTTCTTTAGAGAACACTTTGTTATGTCCCCTATAACCAACAAGGGACACAACGTGTATAAAACAACCCTTGAGGCAAAGTCGGTTTGGCAAACTTTTTATTTGACAGCCAAACATTCATTAAAGTGCACAAAAAATGAACAAAAGGTTGGTGGGAGGAGGCGTGGGCCAGTTGTGCCAAATCAACAAACAAAAAGGTATAACAAAACAGGCCCTAACTGAAAACTAGGCTACAAAAAGGAAAGAAATCAAAAGCCTAGCCTACCTGGTCTAACAAAGAATTTGGAAAACTCAAAACAACAAGGGTGGCAACAACTGATAACTAGTGTGTCTAACAACAAAAATCTACGTGGTGTGAAATGTACAGGGATCCCCAAACTTACCTAACCAATCCTCCCAACCAAACAAACCTGGGCTAGCAGCCATATACACGGAGGGAGAGAGAGAGAAAGAGGCAGCACACAGCTCCTTTTAAATGGCCCTCTCCACTCTGATTGGCAGCCAGCTGGCCAATCAGCTCCAGTTCCGGTCACACCCACAGCACCTGAACACACAGGGCAGAGGAGAGAGCAGTACACAAACAAAACAAATGCCTGCATGTAACAACATATTATGTATTCTTTAGAGTTCCATTATTTTAAACATGCTTTTGGTCACCTTTAGACGAAACATTTCCCATTTTTAAAACTCAAAATAATGTCTACATTTGGAAGATCTGCTTTATAAACTACATGTTTATTTCCAGTTAGATATTTAGGTGTGAGTGAATTAGACGCTAATGGAGCCTAGTAGAATAAGTCCATTGATGTTTATGGGTTTGAAAAGAGTTTTTTTTTTTTTTTTTATGGCACAACAATCCAGGCAAAATGCAAACTGTATGTTTTAAGTGGTCAGAAGACAACTTTGGATGAATGGATTAATGAAACAAGTGTGAAAGAAGGAAAATCCAGCCCCCCACTCAACAAATGTTCTTTGCCCTTCTGGATGACTTCATAGCTCACCAAGGGATTTCTGAATTATATATATTGTGTATTTTATAACAGAATGTGGTTCATTTTAAATATGTCATTCTGATGCCTAACTTTGTGCACTAATAAACTGATAATGGTTTATTTATTATCAGGCTCTGACTGTAACAATGTAAGGTATTGGCTCTTATATTTACTACATTTTGGATAAAATGTTTTGTTTTGTAAAAGTAGCACAATGGAGGAAAAAGGTTGAATACCAGATTTAGAGAAAGGTGATCGCAAAGCTCAGTATTAAAACACAGAAAACAAAAACGTTTAAGGGATCCCCACACCCACGTCTTTTAGGAGTGTGCAACACTGCATCTGTGTCTGGTAAATGATTCTTGTCAATCTTTGTGCCTGCTCATGATGTTCCAGATGAGTCCTTCCAGAAGTTCTACACAGATGAAGACTTCCCGCTGTCCAAGACCCAGCAGGAGGCACTGTGGTTTGAGGTGGAACTGGAGCCTGCGCTGAAGGGGAGGGTCTCTCTGGAGCTGGAGAAGTGCTGGGCCACAGAGGACCAGGACCGGACCTCGATGCCCGCATGGAAGTTCATCATTAACGGGTAACAGACATAGACATACCTCATCAAAGGGTAACACGCACAGGGGTACCTCTTCACCACAGGGTAACAGAGCCACAGGGATGTCATCATCAACAACATATGGCCATTTTATCAATAAGTTAGCCAATTCATATCTCACCACAAAGCACATTTTGTAGTTTCTGCAATCTTCACACAAGTCTGATGAATCAATATGACAAAGTACGTCATCTATATGGTGTAGCAGGCTGTTCTAAACTTGTTAGTTGCCATTTCATAGTAATGTGATAATGGCATTGGTTAGAAGGGCAATTTTTTTTCAACTAGATTATTAACTGTTAACATATTTAGATCACCATGCTTTATATTTTGGAAATGCTGTATTCATGCAAAACAACAAATATTTTACAAGAAAATATCCACAACAAAATATATACAACAAAATCTCCACACTATCACAACACAATCACGCTTAGAATATAACATGCTGCTAAATGAAACAACATACAGTTTGTCCAGGTTTGTTTGTAATCAGGTTTGTCCAGTTTTGTATCATGTTTTTGTATATTTATGGAGAATGGGAGCATGGGGGACTGGGGTTTGTGGGGCTGAACATTACACAGAATCTTTCAACTAACAGTCAAGAGACAGTCAAATAGGGCCTGGGAGAGATCGCTAAATTGCTCAGAGCTAGATTTGAGCTACATTATGTTTACTGACCTCTTCATCACATGCCCCCCCCAGTCAGTTCACATCTCACAATAAATCACATTTTGTAGTTTCCTTGATCTCAGGGTTTAGGGATTCTATGTTGATTTTGGTTTCCAACGTTTGCTCAGCTCAGGTGTGTCCTGGGAATTCTGATTGAAAGAGTTCTACTTTGGGACAACAAGTTTGTTGCGATTTTATATTTATGTCAACATGATAATGGTGAAGAACAAATTTAACATCTTTTACCAGTTATTTCCAAAAACGACACCGGCAGAATAGATTTAAGCCGTGAATTCATTCTCCAAAAGACTAACTTCCTTCCCCTGTGTCTCTGCAGCTGTGTGATCCCGGACAGTCCTCTCCCGGTGAAGCTTGTCCCAGTTTGGAAGGATGCGAGAGTCCACTATCCCCCTCAGCTAAAGAGGTTTCAACTGCTCCTGTCCCCGTCCATCATCCCACAGGCCAGTCCTCAGGTGAGACATGTCCCCCAACTCACTCAACAGGCCGTCCTCAGGTGAGACATGTCATGTTTGAGACATATGGGCTATTGACCTAAATTTAGCCGGTATGGGCCGAGTCCACATGGACATGTTAAACCTTATTATAAGCTTAGACTCTCTATATTATGTCCATTTAATCCATTTTACAGACGTATAAATGCCGTATGTAGTGCAGCATCAATATTTATCTGTGGAGTCATTTGTCTGTGATGCTGTACTGTCCCTGAATGTACTCCACTGTTTCCAGCACTGCGATCTCAACATGCTCTGATGAACACTGACTATATCTAAAAGTGAACTTCAGCGCAGTTTAGGACAGTGACAAAACTCAAAAGAGCAGAGGACTGTCCCCACAGCCAGAGGACTGTCCCCACAGCCAGAGGACACATACAGGCGCATACAAGATTATTCTTTTTACAGACGATCATTTTGAGTCAGGATTAAAAGGGCCAGTATTAGTGCAGACTTGTGATCTGAGAGGTGCCTGTGTGAGCGGAGAGGGTGGCCAGTGTGTTAGTTTTGAGCTTAGCTGCTGTAAGTTACCACACAAATAGCCTGTTTTCTCTTACATTGGCCGAGTGTAAAGTGACTATAGTGACTGTAGACATGTTACTGGACCTGCACTGATATGTTCATGAGCTGTGAATGGACCACATTAACACAAAGTTATCACAGCGAGCACACATTTAGTCTAAGAGCTAAAGAAAAAGCTGTAATTTACTTAATTTGTTTACAGACTAGAATTTAAAGACAGATAGGCCTAATGGCATTATTGCATATGCCATTAGGCCTATCTGTCTTTAAATTTGAGCTTAAAAAGGCAAACTACATGTACATTTAGCCTAAATGAACCCAATTTAAAATTCAATAGAGCTGAAGTCAGTTGAAAAATTTTAATATATCGGCTGTTGTATCATCTATTAGCAGCTCCAAATCCATATCAGTTGGGCCCTAGTTTAAATAGTAGCTTTTGCATGAACTGTCCTGCAGGTGTAGTGCTGAGTGCAGTTTGGGTCACATACAGGGATATGCAATGGTCTAGACGACTCCATTAAAGAAAAGAATAAAAGGAACAACTTAATAAAAGAAACAAGTTCACTGAACGGCCCAAAAAACGGGAACTGATCATCTAAATGGCGTCTTGATAATAAGCTATTAAAACTGATTACTCAAACATGCACAATTCATTCTAAATACAGCTTCGGGTGAGTAAGTGGTGAGGGGAAACATGATTAACAGCACCGAAAAGTTGATTTTGCATAATAGGTCTGCTTTAATACGAATAATGACTTGCATTATAGATCAGAGGTGCAAAAAATAGTTTGTTGGAGTGAGCAGAACAATTTGAAAGGCAATACCTCCAAACCTTCAGGTCATCATGGTCATCCATTAGGATAAAAAACAAACTCAGCAGCCTGTTTGTATCAGCGGTGCAGAGGTGTACGATGTTGAAAACTCTGTTGTGTTTTTGAGTGTGACTTTTACAAATGACCTAAACTGACACAAGTGCAATAGTTTCCTCAGGTAAAATTTGGAATGGGATTTTGACTTTTGACTTGATAATTACTCCTTTATTATATTAATGCTCAGTACTTAAGGAAATATCCCTGGCTCGTATTAAAAAGCCCTCCATAGATTTATGTTCATTCTTGACCATAACTTTCAGCCAAACGCACAGGAGTGGTGACTAACGGTGACAGCCTGACAAACCAATCAGAAAGCGACATGGAGGAGGGGTCGGGGGTCGCTGGGCAGATTCTATTTTTCAATGGCTAGGACAGAGACAGAGGGCGGAGGATGCTGGACAGAGACGGGGGGCGGGGGATGCTGGACAGAGACGGGGGGCGGGGGATGCTGGACAGAGACGGGGGGCGGGGGATGCTGGACAGAGACGGGGGGGATGCAGGACAGAGCAGGAGGGACGCTGGATGCAGGACAAAGATGAGGGGACGCAGGACAGAGTGGGGCGGGGGATGCTGGACAGAGACGGAGGGATGAAGGACAGAGAGGGGGGGATGGGGGGGATGCAGGACAGAGACGGGGAGGATGCAGGACAGACGGGGGGGACGCTGGACAGAGACGGGGGGAACGGGGGGATGGGGGGGATGCTGGACAGAGATGGGGGGGATGCAGGACAGAGAGGGGGGGGGGGTGGGTGACACAATACAGAGATGGGGGGACACTGGAGGCAGGACAAAGATGAGGGGACACAGGACAGAGATGGGGGGATGGGGGGATGCAGGACAGATGGGGGGACAAGGGGATGCAGGACAAAGATGGGGGGGATGCAGGATGGGGGGAGTGCAGGACAGAGACGGGACACTGGATGCAGAGCAGAGACACGGGGGATGCAGGACAGAGTGGGGGGCGGGGGCCACTTGTACAGAGAGGGAGGGGTGGATGGAAGGGAGACTTTCTGCATGAGACATGATGGAAACATGACAGACTCTTTCTGCAGGAGACATGCGCAGTAGAGAGTGAAGTGGTGTGGTCTGATAATTCCTCTGTACATCTTTAAATGTTTAGATTTCAATGACTGTACAGACTCTCATCCAAAATGTGACAATGCCTTTAAGTTTCAGTATTTGAGGAAGAATAGTGCATTTCATATAAAGTTTAAGCCTCTGCCCTCATGATGCTCGCTGGCCTGACCAACCACTCCCTTCTACATACTGTTCACATCCAGACGGCACAGGAAACAGACAGTAGGTGAAAATCCATGTCCAACCACAGTCAAAGGTCTCAGTGCAGTTAACGGGAGAACTAGTCAGGGAGGGTCAGCAGTTCTGTATCAGGGCAGCTTGAGGAGAAGAAGAGGCAAAAGTGTCCCTCCTGTGTGTCCTGCAGGGAATCACTGAAACACAAAACAGGAAAGCCTCTTCTAAGCCTTTCTCTCACTCTTTGTTGTTGGCAGATGAAATGGGACACTATCTCAAATAAGTCTTTTCTCTGGAAGGTCTTGTGCTACATTTGGGGTACAAAGCCAGCAGCATCTCAGAGGGCCATAGTTAGCTTCATTTCACAGCTAAACCCAGACGTCCAGTGTGATGGTGTCCAGTCTAACAGTGGTGTGTGTTGCAGCTGTTTGTCCACTGTGACGTGACCATCTGTGACCCCAGAAACCCCATGGACCCTGTGTGCTCTGGACACTGTTCCGGCCAGCTGCAAGGTGAGAGCAGGCCTGTCCTTCACTCACATCATGAGATTCATTTCATTTCTTTTCTTTTCCATTGTATCTGTCAGCACATAATGTAGTTCACATGATGTAGTTTAGACCTGGTTTAGCCCTTGATCAAGGAGGCCAGGGTGAAATTGGACAGGGGACAGATTTTTTTTTTCAAATGAGCCCTCAGGAGGCCGAATTACACTTTTGGACTGAACACTGACTCAACACATGGATAGGCTATTTGAAATTGCATTGGCACCACAAGAGTCTCATAATGAGGCCTACAATTACAAAGCCTAAAGCAGGAGACAGTTACCCTCTAAAAATGTAACATTTTCCTATTCATGCAAGAAGCCTACATTTATAAATCAGAAATGCAACATAACAGACTACAACTGTAGATGCCAACAAAACACATTCCTATAAATAACACAAGTGGAAACTGTTAATTACTTTAATCATATTTACTGAAGACTTGCACATAAAAACATTTCCACCATAAATAGGCCAATTAAAAGAAACAAAGAGAAACAAGTAAACAACAGGCCATGTGATTGACAAATATGAGTTATCTGAAAACATTAAATTGGCTCAACAGGTGAGGCACATTAACTTTGCCAGTCATCACCAGTCAACCCCCTCCCATATCACACAGGATTATGATCAAAGGAAAGACCAGCCTACTTCAGTTACATTTTACTTGTCGAGGCCAAACACCTTTTAACTTTCACCAGCTTGTCCACAACGGGGGACAGTTTCTGAGCAGTGGCTATTTTCATAACATCTTTCAGATGTCTGCGCGTCAGGCGATTATGCACTTTCAATTTATTAATAATCATGATGGAAAAGGTCTACTCACATAAATATGTTGTCCCAAACATATAAAGTATTTACACATGAAGGCCGTTAGCATTGGGTACTCTAGTGGCAAGAATGGATAGAATAATTTGATAGCAACAGATGCGTACTTATCCTTCAACAGCGCAGAACACTGCACTTCTGTCAGTTCCATTTGGATCGTCTCTGGGACCTTGGAAGCGTCAAACGTGAATGGAGAGCAAAAAAGAGCAAAATCCTTTTCCAGTTCAGTAAAAACCATGAATCGAGTGTCAAACTCATGCCCGAGTCCAGAAAGCAAGTTTGTATACATGGTAAAGTATGCAGGACAGAAATGCAGTATGGGTTAAGTGTCTTGCCCAAGGACACACAAAGACAGCATTCATCTGTGGGAGCTGGAATAACACCAGCCAACCTGTGGGTCAGTGGATCTGACCGCTCAACCTGTGATGTTTATGTCAAGAGCTGGAATCTAACCCCCAACCTTCAGATTAGTCAATTGAGCTACTGCTGCCCACCAGTAGGTACTTGTCCATACACTGATGATTGACAGGTTGAGATGTAAGACAAGGGAATTGAGTGGCATTGAGCCGGAGCTACAAAGCCAGTTTACTTTGAAAAACACAAACACTATCATAATACTGTGATTAGCCCTATGTAGTAACATTCAACATATTTAAATGTTCTGTAATGTCCACTAAAAAGGCAAGGTCATCCAATTCCACCACAGGCTTCTCTTTACCCTGCATGAGCTCTGCTATCTCTGTGTGTAATTTGTAAAAATGTTTGAGCGCTGCACCTCGGCTCAAACAGCACACATCGGTATGATGGGGAAGGCCATGATGAATGTCCTGTTCCAATTAAAAAACGACAAATTTCCTGTGGTTAAGTCCTCTGGCTCGAATAAAATTCAGTGTCAGTAACAACAGGCATTACATGGTCCAACTTCACAACCACTCCTGCCTTTCTTCTCCTCATAGTAGGTGCACTGTCGGTAGCCACACTGACAGTGCTACTCCAGTTCACCTCCAGTTGTCCAGGGCCCTGGCAAGGCTAACAAACATGTCATTATCTGTAGTGGTGTCTGTCACTGGCACAACTGAGACACACTCCTCTGACATTCAGGGAAGTGTCCACTCCACAAATAAATATTGCTAACTGGGCTACATCAGTCACTTCAGTGTTCTTGTCAAGAGCAACAGAGAATGCCATGAAGGACTTAGCTTTGTCTTTTAGTTGACTCTTCAAATTATCAGAAAGTTCTTCAGATCTCTCCATCAGTGTAGGCCTCGACAAGCTTATGTTGGCTGAAGATTGTCGCTTGGATTCCTTTAGTGTGCAGGTCTTCATGAATGCACCCTCTGAGAAAGGCTTGGATGCCTTAGTAATTTCTCAAGTGATGATGTAGTTTGCCTTCACTGCCCCTTGAAAGGATATAAGAATGTATAGTAATAACAAAACTGAGACACTCCTCTTTCAGGAACAATGCAGTAAACAAAGACTAAATAAAATGAACCTTTGTGTGTATCTCGACATTTGGAGAACACGGCTTGCTGTTTCTGTAACGATGATGCTAGCTCATTTAGCTTTTTAGTCCAAAGTTGCCCTGGGTATTTCTTGGCGTGGGTCTCGTAGTGGCTTTTGATATTGTACTCCTTTGCTACAACAACTTGTTGAGAATAAATAAGACACACAGGTGTCATCCCAAAAGAAATACTTTTCTTTCCATCTCTCCTGAAAGATGCAACCTTCAGTGTCGACTTTGCTCTTTTTTGACAGCATCTTGATAGTGGCTAGTCTACCCCACCACCATAGACTTCCTGTGTCATGGTCAGCACTGCTGAGCAACAGACCAACTGACAGATTCCACAGATTCCAGAAAAATCTGTTTAAAAAATTTTTACATTAGGCGGGCAGCAGCAACTGACGGATTCCACCAAAAACTTAATAATAATAATAGTAATATTAATAGTAGTAATAATAGTAATAATAATAAACATTAGATAAAATAAATGAATAAAGTTGTGCCCCGATGTTATATACCAGGCCTGATGTGATGTACAGTTGGGCTGGGTCCGGCCCCCCAGGCCATAACCATGACATCACTGCCCTTGATTATATTCCCAGTTAATTAGCTGATAATACCTAACACACATCATGTTATTAAAGGCGATGTACCAGATTTGTTTTACTGTCTGATAACCATGAACAACAGCTAGTTCATTGTAAACCTTACCTTATGCATTCTGAGCACACAGATTATTCACCACACTGAGTTTTAGCACTTTTCACATACTAGAAAAAAAAATTATGTTTTGGATTTTGCACACAGTGACTGACTTTGACTTCAAGAGCTGCTTATATGATACATCTGTACTGTGGCAAGACAAATGCAAGGCACAGGTCTGTTTCATTGTACAAGTACTCACTTTTCTGGGGGAAGGTCCACATGCTGCATGTATCCAAGGAAGGATTTGCTCAGAATTTTCCACAGTATGGCAGCGTGGGTACCTGGCTCTCACACTGGGCTATGGGATTTTAACCAATTAAGAAGTACATGAAGAGAATTAACAATTTCATCACCAATCGAAACACCGGAGTGGAGTAAGAACGAGGCCTTTTCTGTTGTGGTCACCTGGACACTGCTCTGATGCTGCAGGACACAGACCCTCCCTGACCAGTTGACTGAGACACAAAGGGACTGAGACGCGCAGTGTAGATGTTGCTACAGCAAAACTTGAGTTTCCCTCGGGATCAGTATCTCCCCCTCTCTCTTTTTAATGTATCAGTTTGGTATTTACTTCATTATGGATGTGTTTGCTGCTCAAAAAAGCCTTGTAAACATTGACTGAGAGCCAGCTTGCCTCTTGACTGATCTAGTCTGTAACTGTCCTGGTGATTTCACTTACTTTAATGGACTAATGTGTTATAGTCCTAGACAAATATCTCCTTGGAGATGAGCACAGCATAGTGAACCCTCCACATGAAAATGGCATGCTTCCTCTTTAAAAATGGCTAAAATAATCTATTAAACTTTAATTGAATGCCCTATATTATGCAAAATTTACTCTTGTGTGCTTTTAGTCATGTTAGAACGTTGTTACTTCCCCTAAACGTAACCCTTCCTCAGTATAGAACTGGGGCTGAAGTTATGTAAAACTGACTCTTTTGAACTTGACCTCTGCTCCCATTGGCCATCACACTTTTCTAACATGGAAGTCAGCGGACTTGTTTCTTTTAGTTGTTTTAGATGTATATAGCAGACACAAGCACGATAGGTCTTCAACAAATAAAGTCCAAGAATTTCTCACTTTCATAATGCAATCCTCTCTCTCAGGTCCCCGAGTGTCTGCGCAGGAACACGTCTCCACAGGACCCATCTTCATCAGCTGACTTAGACTTTTACTACAATAAAAAGCTTTTAATACTAATGTGGTCCTCTGTGTCATGTGTAACAGGGATTTTCACATAGGGAGAGTTGTTCCATCTGGTGTAAAAACTGTAAAACTGAGACAAATTTGCAGAGAATGTGTTGCGACTTCATGTCCTGAATGTTTCCCATTATAGCACAAGTTGTATCTGTACGAATTGAGCAGGAAGTGGGAATATTGAAAGTAACTATGTCAATGGGAGGTCAGGGGCGACCCCGATGAGATGGTGCAGACGTGCCCGTCATTCACCAATGACCCCACGGTGACATAGGGAAGGTCGAGAGCTTTCAAAAAATGTATTGTATGCTGTTCCCATGTTAACGGGTATATTTTTGCTAAAAATATCATTAGGCCTGAGCCCAGACGGTAAATGGTCACATTTTTCTATAGCGCTTTTCCACCTTCAAGGCACTCAAAGCGCTTTACAACAAGGAACCACTCACCCCTTCACACAACAGTGTACGCAGACACTGTGGGCACGGTGTCCCGCAACGACAGCATTCATCTGTGGGAGCTGGAATCACACCAGCCAACCTGTGGATCTGACCGCTCAACCTGTCACGTTTATGTCAAGAGGTGGAATCGAACCGCCAACCTTCAGATCAGTGGGCGAATGCTCTACCAACTGAGCTACTGCCACCCAATTGCTTTCACTATGATGAGCACCTCTCGGTCAACCCCGGCATGAACAGCAGTATCCCAGTAACCCACGCCCAAGACCTGGGCCATATTTACTACTGCTAAAATGAATGGAAGTCAATGGAAGGTGATGGGAGACCCCGATGAGATGGTGAATGACGAGCGCATCAGTGAACAATGACCCCACGGTGACATGGGGAAGGTCGAGAGCTTTCAAATACTTATAATATACTGTTCCCATGTTTTCGGATATATTGTTCCGCCGTGTCCCCTAAACCGGAGCAGCAGTGTTAAGTGTATCTGACTTACGCAGACTTGGTGAAAAGAAAAGAGGAGGGTGTATTTCACAGTTCAACTTTTATTATCCGATTGCATGTCATTCTTGAATCATATACTCATTTAACAGAATGTGTGCATACGTCACACGTCACCTCAAGGAAGCTGGACCAATCAAACCATTACAAAATAACATTAATAAGAGCGTTATTTTACAATTATATTCAACACCCCCACTCGCTCTTCTGTCACTAGGCTACATGGAGAAACTAACAGAATGAGGCTTTTATATTGTCTTAAAGTAACACATTTAAATACCAAATATGTCCACATCTCCCTTGAAAACTTTCTTAACTTGAGCTTAGTAGCAGACTTTGTCTGCATTCACATATTATTTTATAATCTAAGCAAATTTAGGTTATTATTGCCACACAGTTAGCACACCCAATTCACCCAATTCACCCAATCCAACTCTGTGACATTGGACCATGTACATCTTCACCGGTCAATGGATGTTAGTGCCAGGTCATGCCTGCCTCGCTCATCGGAGGAGACAGCCATGACACGGGGGATATAAGAGGACTGACCTCTGACCTATGGAAGATGTGAAATCATGCCTGTTACCATGATATTGAATCTTAGGAAACAGACTTGCATAAAGTTTAGACAAAGTCTCTGACAGAGGTTAACTTTGAGACACTCTACCCTTCCCCCATGTGTCTGAACCTCCCTGTCTCGGACCTGTCACCCAAGTCAAGATACACTGACTTGTGTTCATGCACTCCCTGAATGAAAGACCCTTTCAAGGATTAAAGATCATTTTCCAAACTAAATTTTCTATAAAGCTATTGATAAATCAATTCACTGAAGTGAGTTCACAGACTATAATCGACAAATAAAAGACACTGAGATTTTGATGGAACAATCTCTTAATCTTAAACCAATTCTCCAGAGAAAGAAAGGAATGAAATTCAATTCATTCAATGAACTATGGCCAGTGTGTTTTACTACTGATTTGTAAATGTCATGTGAATAGTGTAATATGAGAGTTGTCACAACACTCCTCACACAAAGTCACATTCCTCACATCATAACTCACACAACTACACACCTCATTGGTCAGTTTTTCCCGTTTATCTTATTTGAGACAAGGAAGACAGACCTCAGCCAGTTCTGACCAGTTCGTTCAGATCTCAGTTCAGCAGAAGAAGATTGCAGAAGCAGTTCAGCTCAGAATGGTCAAGATGTAGTAGAGCCGAACAAGAGGGACAACGCCCAAGTCCACGCTCCTGGGTTGTATGTGCACTGTCACAGAATGACTTACTTTATCAATTTAGACTCAACATAGAACTTTAGATAAACCTTAAAGTTGTGTCTAATCTCAGATCTCTAGACACCAGTTTAGAGCGACCTCCACTCATTTACATATTTGATATTTAAATGTTTCTGTTTAACTTGGTCAATAAATATTCATAAACCACTGTTTGCTTTGGTGAATAGTGATGTCATTTCCAGTGATGTCATTTCAAAATATACAGGTCACTGATATGGACAAGAATTTACGAACCTTCAGATCAGTTGTTTAATTCATTATTAATTGGTAATAATTGGTAGGTAATTGATTAAACTGGATTGGTAATATTTCTCAACATTTGTTGGGTGGTGCCCCGAATTTACTTCTAGTCAGAGCTGAACACTCACAAAGGCCACGTGAGTGCAGCTTTAACTTAGAACTCCTAAATTCCGACCTGTAACATCAGTTACTCCCTACATCTCATGGTATCACACTGTGTGCCCATGTAGATTTCACACTACATATTTTGGCACCCCGGTGTGGGGCCATGTTATGACCCAGCTCGTTGGGTGAGGGAAGTAACAAAAACAAAAATCAAGATGTAAAATGGAATAAATTAAATAATGTTTAATTAACAGGAATGTTAAAGGTAAATTAACAAAACAGACTAAAATATACAGAAAACAACCTAAACTAAGAAACAGAGCAACAGAATAAACAGTGTTTTGTGCCACAAAAGGGGTCACGCAGGCTTACACAAAATGAGTGGTAAAATTTAGGGACACACGAAACCAAAACACAAGTTCCCCAAATCAAAAAAGGCATAAAACAGAACTAAACTAAACACACAAACACAAAATGGCAGACTGGCCCCCCAGGCCAGCAGCCCCGAGCAGGTGCTGGTAATCTTCTTAAATAGGGGGAGGTGGCTGCAGGTGAGGTGGGCATCGACCTGCTCCACCAATCACAGACCAGGGCTCCTGCAGCAGGAATCAAGAGAACTCTGCCAAAATCACACAAACAAATTAGAACTAAGGCCTGGGGCAGTAACAGCCACACATATATATATATATATATATATATATATATATATATATATATATATATATACATATATATATATACATACATACATACATGCACACGCACATGCGCACACACACACACACACACACACACATACATACATACATACAGTCCCTGACAAAAGTCTTGTCACTTATCCATTTTGTAGAAACAAAAGCTTATAACCTGACTTTAAATTTATCGATTGGTTTTAGAAATGTGTCATATGAAAGCTAAAACCCTCCCAAATTATGCTCAATATACTAAAATAAATTTGTTTAACTGAAGAAAGATTGATCATTTAATAAACACAGAAAGGTCAGATTTTGGCAAGACAAAAGTCTTGTCGCCTTGTCATATGATGCACCCAATCCTAGATTACAGCCTCACCTGTGATCAGTTACTGATCAATCAATTAGTGGGTGTGTATAAAAAGAACCCCAGCACACCAGACCTTCACATCAACTGCAACTTGACCTCTGACAACATGCCTAAGATCCACCCTGAGACCAAAGCGTTAATTATCAAAAGGACTGAAGACCAGATCCACTGCTGAGGTGGTGACACCTTCAATGTGTCTCAGCGTCAAGTACAAAGAATAAGAAAAAGATCTGAAATGACTGGAGATGTTTTTGACAAGCCCAGGTCCGGCAGACCCCGCAAGACAACTGCTCGGGAGGACCGTTTGTTGATTCAAAAATCCAAGGCCAGCCCCTTTTCCACTGCAGCAGACTCCACCAGGCCCGGTCACCTCAAGTCCCTGTGTCAACCACAACAGTTTGTAGAATTCTGTCTCGAAATGGCCTCCATGGTCGAATCAGTGCACAGAAACCAGCACTAAACAAAAGGCAATTAAAAAACCGAGTGGCATTTGCCAAGGCCCACAGCCTGCTAAAAGGATGGACACTGGAAAAGTGGCAGAAGGTGGATTTCTCAGATGAATCCTCGGTTGAATTACATCACAGCTACCGCAAATATTGCAGGAGACCTACTGGAGCCACATGGATCCAAGATTCACCCAGAAAACAGTTAAGTTTGGTGGCGGAAAAATCCTGGTCTGGGGTTACATCCAGTATGGGGGTGTGCGAGACATTTGCAGGGTGGAAGGCAAATATCAATAACCTAAAATATCAAGAAGTATTAGCTCCTCTTACATTCCCAACCATAAAAGGGGTCAAATTTTGCAGCAGGATGGTGCTCCATCGCATACTTCTATCTCTACATCAAAGTTTCTCAAGGTGAAGAAGATCAAGGTGGTCCAGGATTGGCCAGCCCAGTCACCAGACATGAACATCATTGAGCATGTCTGGGGTAGAATGAAAGAGGAAGCATGGAAGGCAAAACCAAAGAATCTTGATGGGAGGCATGTAAGACGCTTTCTTTGCTATTCCTGATGACTTCATCAACAAATTGTATGAATCATTGTCGAACCACATGGATGCAGTCCTTCAAGCTCATGGAAGTCATACAAGATATTCAATATGGATCTCACAGCACCACTACTTAATTCACTGACATTATGCAACATATTTTGGTATTTGAAGTAAATTATTTGTTCAATTTTCTGTAGGCGACAAAACTTTTGTCTTGCCAAAATCTGACCTTTCTGTGTTCATTAAATGATCAATCTTTCTTCAGTGAAGCAAATTATTTTAGTATATTGAGCATAATTTGGGAGGGTTTTAGCTTTCATATGAGACATTTCTAAAACCAATCGATAAATTTAAAGTCAGGTTATGAGCTTTTGTTACACATACAGCCCTCACAAGTACACACATGACACACACACAAAACTGTAAAACATAAAAGTGTGTTTTTGAGGAAGATGTCAGAAGAACAAGCTCACGCACAGTTTCACAAAAGACACAGGATGTGGGGAAAAGCAGAAGTACAGCAATCACAGCTAAAGGGTTTTCTTTTTAGGACAGTTCAAACACACAAAGGACACACAGGGAGAGGGGACACACAGAGGACACACAAAGGACACAAACAGAAGAGGCGATGGCTGAGTTCACAGCAGGGGTCCTGCTCCTGACAGTTTTTGTTGCAGGTAAGACATGAGTTTTATTTTTTGCTTCCAGATTAATTTAAATCCTGTAAATTCATTGATTACTTAGTTTTTGTTTTGGTTCTGGTTTAGACCTGGTTTAGTCCTGATAACAAATATGATTTTATTTTGTATTACATAAACATAGAAGAAACTAAATGAGTCCAGCTGTGATGGTGGAGCAGTAACTATTATTCTACTGCTCTAATGATATTATTGCATTGCCTTAGTGTCTGAAGAAGCACACTGAATTTTTATTTCACCGCCTCCGTCATTTAAAACCCTCACGCTCTCCTTGGGGTCACACTGACCCGAAGACCTTTTTTTTTCCTTCCCGCTCTCTTTGGGGCGGGTCAATCAGACCTAAAAATTTATTTTCTCGCCTGGCAAGAATTTATTATCTGATTGACCTGCCCCAAGACAGCGGGAAGGAAAAAAAAATTCTTCGGGTCTATATGACCCTGAGGAGAGCGTGAGGGAGGGAACTTATTAAACCACACCTCATTGCCAACTGGAAACAAGAACAGTTTTACAACTGGAAGTAGCATTTGCTAACATGCACAGGGTCTATTAAGTTACTGAAGTATTCAGTAATATGACGCACACTGATGTTATTACACACACATTTCTGAAAGACGCTCAGTGTCTAAACAACTTCTCATGATGACAAAATTGATCCGATCAAGATGAAAGTCACACACGTATAAAAACCTGTAAAACACAAGTGTATGTGAAGTGTCATGACAACAACCACCACAGCCAAAGTCCTTGTGATGGAATTGGATGTGTTTTCATGTTGTGAAGAAAATACTCTTATCATATGAATGATCATAATTTCTGCAAAAACCTTACCATGGTTAGAGGAGTAGAGGAGGTCATTTTCTCCTGTGACAGTTTCAGAGCAGGACAGGAGGGTCAGTGGGGCCTGGAGTTTTTACTGCTGCTCACTTCCTTTGGTTCTGTCTCCACAGAATGGGCTCAATCTCTGATTGTGTTTGTGAGAGAAGGAGAAGAGGCAATTATCACGTGTCCAGATGTTCCACCAGGACACAGTCAGTGCAATAAGACCTCATGGCAGTTTATTTCAGCCTTTGGAGGATTTGCAGGGCATCTGGTTTTTCTGGGACAGATCAGCTCTGATGTCTCCCATCTCCCAGGCATGTCTGAGCGTCTCACACTGACAGAACAGTGTGGTCTGAAGATCCAAGATGTCCGCCCTCAGGAGGCTGGACTCTTCCACTGTCGGCTGTACCAAACACCAGGAGGAGCACCCATCGCTCAGGCTTCAGTTCCTCTGTCTATAGTCTCATGTGAGTGTTCTATCATCATGTTTTTATTTCTCTCATTATTGTGGCATTGAAATTAACACTGGACATTTCTCCTCAGGAAAAGTATGAAATTAAATTTATTAATATGATAATAATAATAATAATAATAAGTCAGAAAATCAGTGTTTGCATTTGCCCAGATGTCTTTATAGCGGCCATATTGGATTTTGAAAAAATGTCTGCCAAATATCTCTTTTTGGAATAGCTCAGCCTTTGAATAAGTTGAAATGTTGATTTTAACTGCTAAACCCACATTTTCAGGGTCAGGGAATCAAATGGTGCTAGTTACAAAGCTGTAAGACCTACCCACATTAACCCTTAGATGCATAAGTGGGTAAAAAATGACCCGGTTTGGTTGTTTTCTTGCAATTTCATTGTAATATTTGCATGTAATACTCCATGTTCCTCCAAAAAACATGTTTTTTTAATTATCCTGTTGAAATACTTGAAAGTGATGATGATAATGATGATGTATAGAAAATGTCTAATAAAAAGGTTGCACAATCATATCGTGTCTAAATGTGTGTGTTTACATCCAACATACACATTTTATGTTAGCTACTTTTAAACTCTGAGTTATCTGACCAACTGCATGTGATGTTTATAGTTTGTTTTACCCATATTGTTGAAGTATTTCAACAGGATAATAAAAAAAACAAAAAAACATCTTTTTTGGAGGAACATGGAGTATTACATGCAAATATCACAATGAAATTGCAAAGAAAACAACCAAATCAGGTCATTTTTGACCAACTTATGCATCTAAGGGTTAATGTGGGTAGGTCTTACAGCTTGTAACTAGCACCATTTGATTCCCTGACCCTGAAAATGTGGATTTAGCAGTTAAAATCAACATTTCAACTTATTCAGAGGCTGAGATATTCTAAAAAGAGTTTTTTGGCGGCCATTTAAAAAAAAATCAGTATGGCCGTGTGGGTTTTTCGGAAGGTTCAATGCGTGTCCTAAAAAGAAGCACAGGAGATGGAGCATCCGAGAAAACAGGCCACTTTATTTCAGCATTTCCATTGAGTGAGATTCAAGTTGATTACCAAGTACAACTGCCACCCCGGAACGACGCCTGACAAACTCAAAATCAGGGGTAGCTTTATACTACATCTTGACAAAACATTAACTTGTTGATTCAGCATATACAGCAAGAAAATGAACAATACTGCTGACCCAGTACACCTTATCATGGGTGGGACCATGTCACGGGGACCACATATGTCAGTTTTGCTGCTTCATGGCATCTCAAAGTCCAAAAACATATTCTTTATGCAAGAAAAACATGTTATGTAAACCTATAGATATCACACGTGTGTTTTTCCACCCTGCTGTCATTCTAAAGTCCATAATGTTAGGTGAATTAGCATGATCAGCACATAATTTCCCACAGCCGCCATAAAGACATCTGAACAAATGCAAACATTGATTTTCTGACTCCATATACTATAACCTTTCCAAAAATATATAGGTTAGCAAATCCCCAAAAAATCCCATAAAAGTATATAAGGAACCAGACTATACATAGAACTGAAGTGTGTTGTTGAACTGAACATAGTCTCTTCAGTGAAAAAGAGTCTTATTTGTGGGCACTGCATATTAATCAGTTATTTATACTAAAAGTCCAACAGTCTGATGAATACTGACCATGGGAGAGTTCTGAGGTCTGTGTGTGTTTCAGTGACTGAAGAAGTAGAGGAGCAGAGGGTGAAGCTCATTTGTGCCGTCTCCTCTCGCTATGGAGACACTGTGAAATGGCTGTACAGGGGGAGAAATATGAACAAGAGCAGTCCAGAGATCATCACATCAATAAACATCACAACTGTGTGGCGTGGGTCCATCCTCACTGTTCCTAAAGGACATTTCCTTCTCCAGGAGAAACATCTGCTCAAATGTGAAGTGACTCTTAGAGATAAGACTGAGGAGTTCATCTTCAAACCAAAGAGCGCAGGTGAGAACAAGAGGAACATCAGGGACACTCAGGGAGGGCATTTGACACACAGGGAGGGCATCTGACACACAGAGATACAGGAGGATGGGAGAGCATCTGATATAAGATCAAACAAACAAACTCGCTCCTCAGACAGCCTCTGAGGACAGAACGTCTCTGGGGTCAAAGGTAACATGTGGTTCAGTGCTAATTTAAATCTGGTTCAGTAAGCAATTTCTCCTGTGAATCAATAAGGTTTATCTAAGTCTAAGTCCTGGTTCAGACCTGGTTCAGTCCTGGTTCCATCCTGGATCAGGTGTCAAACAGCCCAGGTGAGACCAGGATCGGGTTCTGACCTGGTTCTCCTGAGCTCAAGTTTGATGGTTTTTTGATGGAATCTATGTGTCTCCACAGATAGTGTTCTCCTCACAGAGGGTCCAGGCGTGCTCTCCACAGAGGGTCCAGGCGTGCTCTCCACAGAGGGTCCAGGCGTGCTCTCCACAGAGGGTCCAGGCGTGCTCTCCACAGAGGGTCCAGGCGTGCTCTCCACAGAGGGTCCAGGCGTGCTCACAGGCACTGGTAGGTCCACCTACAGAAGGTCTGAAGGACAGAAGAGGCACACCGCTTTTCTGTAACCTCAGATACATGCTTAGCCTTTTAGTCTTAGTCTCAGGGACATTACTTTGACACAGTAGCTCACACATGACAAGCTATTATAATAAGTATACTAAGAGTAAACAATATCAATGGTAATAGCAAAAAGATAATGAGACTAGTGTCAAATAAGTCGTAATTATATAAATGTATATATACAACTGGATGCTTCCCCAGTGAAAGTTATGAACATTTTTAAAAGAAAAGATTCATGAATGAGGCCCAGTATTCTCACAGAGCCTTTAGCACTGTCCAGGTGTGAGGAGCCCGCTGCAGAAGATCACAGCATCATCCACACTAATATGGGCCTTATAGCCAAATTGTAGAGGATCCAGGGATGGATCCACCAGGGGTGAAGAAAAATTCAGGTGGGAGCAGAGGTGATGGGCTGATGAATGGCCATCTGAGGGGTCTGTGGTGAGGTTTGGATTGGGAGTCTGGGAGGTGTAGAGACAGAGATGTAGGAGTGTGGATTTATTGGAGTTTTACTTCCATCTTCCTCCTGTAGTCTTCTTGTCCTTGCCTGAGCTGGGCCTTCAGCTGTCCTTGTATCTTCTTCCCCTTGTCCTTGTCACCAGAGCTGAAGGCCAGCTTCTTGTTGAGGAGATCCTTCAGCTGGCTGGTGATCCAGGGCTTGTTGTTGGGGTAACAGTGGACAGTGCGTGTGGGGATGGCTGTATCCTCATAGAAGTTGATGTAATCCATTATACTGTCCGTCATGTTGTTGATGTTGTCCCCATGGGGCCGTCAGAGCTCAAAGCTCCTGAAAAGCATGGCTGGCTTCCTGACTTCACTTCCTTACAGACTTAGTAGTTAGAGGCTGTCTCTTCACTGCAGGGACATACTGAGGCATTAACAGGACGTGATGTTGGTCTGATCATCCCAGTGAGGGCAGGGCTGTGGCACTGTGTGCCTCCTTACAATTGGCACACAGCAAGTCAGAGTCCTACTGTCTCAAATTTTACAATCCACACACTGGTGAAGTGTGGCTCAAACAAGGAGGCATGGTTGAAGTCACCAGAAATCAGAAGAAGGGCCTCTGAGTGTTATAACAGCAGTGTGTATCCTGTCACAGACAGCATCTTCATCCGCTGAGGTCGTCTTCTTCTTCCTCTTCTTCTTCTTCTTCCTCCTCTTCCTCCTCCTCCGCAGGCTTGAATTTCCTTTTTCACTGTTTCATTTTTGCTCCAGTAGATCATCCTCCGTAGTTCCACAGTAAGTATTTTTATTCATATAGCACATTCCACAGACTTCTGTCACAAAGACGCTTCACAGAGCATTATTCAGCATTATTCATTCACTCTACACCTGGTGATGGTAAACTACTATTGTAGCCACAGCTGCCCTGAGACAGACTGACAGAAACACAGGAATGTCAGGCTTAACTCTAAACAACACTGGGCACAGTGAAAGAAAGACAGCTAAAAAGAAGAAAAAAAGATATACACCCAGAAAACATGGTGAGTGTTTAAGTGAATGAATCAAGTAAATAAAATTTAAATAAAATCTTAAAGTGCAAGAATTTAAAAAGGAAAAAGTAGGTGTTTTCAGGAAATTTTCAAGAGCTGCTGTGACCCTGCTGCCTCTCTCTGAGGCGTTCAGGGTGACTGCTCCTCTCACATAATAACAATATCATTCAGTTAATTTTAATCAAATAAAAGAACTTTCTAAATATGGTGATGTCATAGTTTCAGACAGAGGGTCACACTATGGGAGCTTCACTCTTTTTAAAGAATTCTCCAAACTTGGATCAGCTCCACAAACTTGTCTTATTAATTTTCTGGCTTAAAGTCCTTTCACCTGACAACAGTCACGTCTTTCGGCACCACTTTGGTTCATTTCTCCTAACAGAGAAGACCGGGACTAAACCAGGACTGAACCAGGACTAAACTAGGACTGAACAAGGACTAAACTGTACTAAACCTTTAGTTTATTTTTCCTGACAGAGAAGATCTTGAAATTTGTGCCAGTTTTTGTTTCTTATGGATAGGTCCAGTAATTACAGAGATATGAACCAGAAACCAGGTCACACATCTGCCCTGAATCTACTGACCTGCAGAGCACCTGAGAACTCTTACCTGTCCCAGCTCAGGTGACCATGACCATGACCTATGACCTTCTTAAGTGACCATGACCTTTGACCTTCTCCTCAGGTGAGCTGGTGAGACACGTGGTGCTTAGTCTGCTCCTCTCTGCTCTGCTCCTCAGTGTCACTGTGGTTCTCGTCTGCACCAGGATCCAAGGTACAGTCTTGATTTAGACCTGGTTTAGATCTGGTTTAGTCCTAGGTTAGACCTGGTTTTATCTCGATTTACACCTGGTTTATTTCTGGTTTAGTCCTGTATTAATCCTGGTTTAGTCCTGAATCAGTACTATTTGCTTACGAGCTGTGTGAACTACCGTAGGGTCGTTATGTTACGATACTAAAATATCAAACTGGAGTTCAAGACTAAGGAACAGACTCAATACTGATTCTGATACCACGCTGATAATAAAACGCTCTTTCTTTAGACAATAGGTGATTTTCAACATTAAATGGTAGTACTTTTCTATTCCCATGTGGCCCCAGTGGTCCAGGTAGGTTCCATAGTGGTGGGTCCAAGCGCACATAGACTATGTGCTTGTTCTGACCCAGCTCAAGATCATTCTTTATCACTTTTTGTGTGTTTCAGGGAGGAAAACTCAGACGGATCGGACCAGAGTAAGAATGAGACATGAGGGCATCTGACACACGGGGAGGGCATCTGACACACTGGGAGGACACCTGACACACGGGGAGGGCACCTGACACACTAGGAGGGCACCTGACACACTAAGAGGGCACCTGACACACTAGGAGGGCACCTGACACACTAGGAGGGCACCTGACACACTGGGAGGACACTGACACACTAGGAGGGCACCTGACACACTAAGGAGGGCACCTGACACACTAGGAGGGCACCTGACACACTAGGAGGGCACCTGACACACGGGGAGGGCACCTGACACACTGGAAGGACACCTGACACACGGGGAGGGCACCTGACACACGGGGAGAGCATCTGACACACGGGGAGAGCATCTGACACATGTGTGTGATTGACAGGTGGGCACAGTTGTTTATGAGAACATCGGAGAACCTTCCGTCAGGATCAGAATGCACGCCGCTCCCCCTGCTGCTCCACAGGCCCAATGATGAGTCCTGGTCCAGTCCTGATTCAGATTTGGTTTAGATCTGGTTCAGACCTGGTTCAGAGCCACGTCTGAATCTTTAAAGAGCGGGTATTCTGCATTTATTTTTATTTATTACATTTTTTGTACTTTTCTCCCATGTTCGAATGTCATTAAAACCACGTCAGAAGAGGTTTTAGATGTCATCCATGCATATTTGAGAAATCTAGTGATCTCTCCTGGGCCCTTTTCGAACCCTCCTTACAATTAGCAGTACGAGCCTGTACATGACTCCACCCACAAGCCTACGTCACGCATGTTAATACGTTGTTTTGGGTGAATACAGCATTTTTAAAACAATAAAAGGGAACTGTGATGTAAATATGTTATATGTTAATACCCCATAGAAGTAAATACCCCCTCTTTAAACTGTGCGCTTCATCTTTTACATGATTATATTGTAATTGGCTTGATTTTGTGTCTTGTGTTGTGAAAGTACTGTTTATAATGTAACTGTTGTTGTATGTGATGGTTCTGTGGTGAGTTACTGGTCAGTTGGAGACAGGTCAACTCACTGAGAAATACAAAGTAGAAATAAAATACACTGTTGTGAACCTTCAGAGCTCCTCCAGTTGTTATCGCAGGATTCACCTCCAAATCCTACACAGTGGTCAGATGAGAACTCCCATGCAGGGCCGTGCGTGGACCACAATGCACCAACTTGATCGTAGTTTCAGAGAGTGTGGATTATTGTTGCACATCGGAATAAACACGTTATAATAACTACACCTTATTTAGCCTTAATAAAGCATGAATAAAGACTTAATTAATAATGATTCACGCTTAGTAAATGTTTAATAAAGGATAATTTGTCTTCACTTTAGAAAAGCTCTCCAAAAAGACTTAATTAACAGATAACAGCTGCTTGAATTATCATTGCATTGCATTATTAGTAAATCATTCTCTCATAGTTTACTAATGATTAATAAATGCTCAAATGGTTAGTTCATGAGTAATTAAGTATGAAATAATTATGAGTAACTATTTACAGCACAGCAAATTAAGTGCAAGTGCGAATTAAGGTAGTAATTAAGTAGTTGCTAAGCATGAATCATTCTTAAGTCTTTGTTCATGCTTTATTAAAGCTAAATAAGGTGTAGTTATTATAAAGTGTTACCCACGTTATCAAAGGGAGAAGAACGCCTGAGCCTTTTACCAGATTTACAAAGCTCCAGATTAACACAGAAATGGAATTCTGACTGATTAAGCTATGAATGTAATTTCACACTGATATATGCATTTTTTTTTTTTTTTATTTGGTTTAATCCGAATGATTAAACCATAGTCTCATAATGATTGAATTACTGTAAGTTTGTGTGTTGTTGATTAGCATTAAATCGTGTATATGAGAGAGGAGATTGAAGAGAAACCATCCCAAATGCTTTTTGCTTAACTCTGTTCATATGTTTAATGGATTTGAAAAAAAATAGAAAAGTGAAAAGTAAAACAGATGTCCAGATATTGCAGACTTAAGGTCAAATCTCTTTAAACATGAGTGACCCTTCTCTGGTGTAGCTGTGATTTTAATCTGATTAGTTTTAAATCTGCAATTTCCTTTAATAATAATAATTTTAAAAAACAACTCCAACAGTGGACTTGGTGCATTTGTTACCCCTTATCCAGCTCTGCCAACATGATGTCCCTGTCAGGTTTAGTCACGTGGTGCAGGGGCTCTGCAACCGCCATGTTGGGACTGGACACAGAACATTCTCCCATAAGAAGCAATTAAGCTTTTCCACAGATTTTTGATTTTGTATCAACAGACACTAGTATATGTTTTATATCACAGTGTTGGTTTGGGTTTTTAAAGTTAATAAAGTTTCACCATAGTAAATGCACAGAGCTGTGAAAAACAGTCAAACTCTTTAAGCAAATCATTTATGAATGATGAGGACTGAAACAGTGATAATAGTTCCATCTTGTCCCTAGAATTTCAAGTTCAGGTTTTAATTAAAACTAAATATATGTGTTGTAGAAGTTATGTGAAAATACAAATAGATCCAGGTGCAGACTACTAAACTTCACTTTTCTGTACAATCTGACGAAATCTCTAAAGCACTGTTTTTACTCCGTGTATCTGAGCAGACCTCCCCAACTCTGACAAAACACACCATCGTGAACTAAAGCCTCAGCCTAATCATTAGTTTGAACAATAATCATAATATTTTCAGCATTTATCGTATTATTGGTACTCTGGTGCACAAAAGACGTCCTGTCCAGTGGAGAAATCTGTTTAATGGTCTGAAAGAACCAAACAGACCCACAAACATGTCACGGCGCTGCCACGACCCAACCAACCCTCCCGGGCCATGTTCCATCACACACACACACACAACTACACATCAGCGTAGCACTGGCAACAACAGGTCAAACCCACAGCCTATGTGTTCAGGCCGAGCTTTTTCTGAGTCTTTCTGTAATGTCACATATTTGGGGTTTTTTTTGTGTTTTTTTTTTTACATTGCTTAGCATTAACTTAATAAAATTGATCAAATTGAATACTCTGCTGATAAATAAAATTGACATAATGGTTATAACCTGTACTGTAGGCCTGTTTAAGCTTAAACTATTGTAAATGTGATTAATTTGACCTGGTGCATGAACATAACATGACTGTCATGTCTGAAAGTCCGTTTAGGTTTAAACCAACTGGATTTCAGCAGTGAAACTGGCAAAGAGACTCATGTGAGGCTCATTCTGCTTTGTCTGGTGAACAAAAATACCAAAAATAGGCTTAAAATAAATAGGACATCATGTATCAGGACACAAATGTTTATGAAATTTAAAATAAAAATCTTACATACAGTTCCTTATATTTTACCCATCTAAACGGATGTTGTTGCTCAGCTTTGTCCGCCAGCATTTCTTCAGTCCATAGAAATGGAAGGAAACAATGAAGGAACCCCATAAGACTCACACCCCGAGGCTTTGGATTATATCTGCAGGCAGACAGGGCCTTTAAACGGACAGTTTCCCAAGACTTGACGCAATAACAGTTTCTGAATATCTAAAGTTATACGTTGGAGTAGTCTCTAAATACACAGAAGTTAGACAGAAGCGTATAGAAAACAAATGCCCCACATATTACGCATTCATAAATTACCATACTACAGTGGAGTCTATTCACTGCACAATAGACAACATCGCCCCCTGTTGGTCCTGAAATTTAGCATATAGATTTATTTAGGCCTCGCAGAGCATTTTCCTGGAACAATTAGGTACATGCCCATAAAGCCAACACATGGACTGGAATGAAAGTGCATCAGACATTGGATTGTACTTTAGCTCTACCATGATCTAAACGTGCTCTCCTCTACAAGGTGCTTTTGACTGGGCTTATTTTGAGGTGAGATGGCATACATAGGATGAGTGGAGTTTTGTTTCATTCACATGTTTAACACACAAACACTGCCCATTTAAGCTCTGTTCTTAAAAAAACACTGTTCCACCTTGTGATGCCATGGGATAATACAGGAAGTGATCTTTGTTTTTAAAATTCATACATGTTCACTAAATCATGTCGATTAGTTCAGTGTGGATTGGCAATTCTAGACTGAAACTAAGGTAAACAGGAGCTGAATACTTACACGACATCACAAGGTGCTATGGAGCATGTTGAGCTTTGGTGATGTAGACAGACTAAAAGATTACAAGAGTGAAAGAAAAACCACAAACTCCAGGTGTGTATGAGGAGGCAACAGCATCATATGTCTTAAAGAGCACTATTATCCAGTTTGTCTAATAGAATCTTTAAGAGTAGTCTCTGCAATATTTTTGTAGTACAACACTTGCTTCTTAATGGGGATTTTATGATAGACTTGAGAATAGATCTGAACCAACTACGCTCATCTGCTTGTCCAAATGTTGTAATGCACAAAGCTTTACATCTGACCATTTAGTCAAGATTAATTATTCACGACAGCCTTAAATATGACCACAACAGTATCTGGAGTTAAAATGCATAGAAAGTTTATTAAGAGATGTTTGTGTGACCGCTCTGCTGCAGGAGGACGGGCCCAGAAGAGGTCTGTGCACTGCTCCGCTCTGAAAAACAAGCACACAGTTTGTACAGATGTCTGCAGGTTTTAGGTTCTGTAAGTTTTTACAGTGAAGCTCACCCTTCCTCCCATCTTTGGCCCCGCCCACTCCAGGACGTGCAGGTGACCTGGGGTGGGCACACTGCCCCCTGCAGGCACTATCTGTGTGGTCATTTGAGTCACAGACCACAGCATCACAGTGAATGTGGAGCTGAAAAGACAATGATCAAGTCAGTGTATTTATCAATTATTATCCCAGCACACCTTTATTCAGTCACATCTGTATCTCGTCATTTAGGGTACAGGGCTAATTGAGTTTTTAAATAACTCCAGACACCTTAAGGCTTTCTGAAAACTAATCTTCGGGCCACATTTCTGGACACCCCTGCATAGTTGTACCATTAGTATTGTTATTCATCTTTTTATCATCATGGGGGTGGCCATAATAGTTGTAAACCCTCACATTTCCATTACCATACCAGTCCACACAGAGTCATCACCGAGTCATCTAGATCAGAAGAACAGCCATGTGAGGGTGAGGATACAATCATGCCAGCAACAGTGACAAGAAAAATGCTCCATCTGGGTTTTCCAACCTGCATTTTATAATTGGATTCTTTCAACCAGATTTCAGTTAGTCAAGCTCGGCCCTCAAATTTCAAATCTCCCACGGGGGTGTGTGTGAAGAATATACAGTATATAAAGGAATAGACTACTAGATTCCCATTCAACACATTCATAAAATTTGCTGATACAGCTGCTGTCAGGCCCATCACCAATCCAGATGAATCTGTAGAGATGACATCCAGAGGCTGTCAGAATGGTGTTCAGCTAACCATCTGGACTGAAATTCCACCAAGAGCAAAATCATTTTGGATTGCTCTTCTGGTCATTAATATCTCAGTCATTGTAGTTAAAAACTAAAGTGAGAAGAGAGGAGTTTGTGCAGTATGTGCAAATGGTAACAAGGGACTTGCTACTTGTAATTTAATTGTTTTCTCATTCAGTGACAAACTCAAATGCATGAAACAGACAAATAGTCAAAAGCTTCTGACAGCCCACAGATTTATTAAATTGATCCTGGTCTTCTCATGTGAAGAATATCTTATCTCACCTGCTCTTGGAGAACCTGGTCCTCTCGTGTGAAGGTGAACATCTTGATAATGAAGCGTTTGACATGACCTGGGATTTGCACACTGGAGTCTTTCTGCACAGGGAGGAGCTGGGTCAGGTAGCGGTCCTCCGGGTTTTCACAGCTACAAACACATTCAGACTCTGATTATGTGACAATGACACAAACAGGAGGAGACTTTTTGGTGGGGACATCACATGGGGAGGAGGAGAGGAAAGAGGGAGAGGGGTGGTTTAACCTTTAGTCATCCAAAACCCACTCCCTTCACCCTGTCTCCTTTAGTCCTCCAGACCCCAAAATGTCGCAGGCTCACGTGTCAACTATGATGTCCCAGCGTGGCACAGAGCTCCGGTCTGGGCTGCTCGTGGCCCAGCAGCTGTCCAGCACCAGCTCCAGTCTGGGGTCAGAGGAGGAGTCCAGGGACACTTCCACATACACCGACTCCTTGAGGACCTTAGACACTGGGAACTCGTCCGGCTGGTAGAACCACCTGTAGGAGGAATCTTACAGAGGGGAGATACTTGCATAAGACCAATGTGTCAACAAACACTTGATACCAACACTATGCACAGTTTAGTAGCCCAAAAAAAAAAAAGTGTCCCTTATCCTTTTTCAGCAATTTTAGTGCAAACCTGGTAAATCTGAAGCTTTGTATAAAGGGTGTGTCCCAAGTCCTGTTTCCTCCACTCTCACTCTTCCTTTCAGTCCTCCAGGTACTGTCCAGTTTAGCAGCTCTTTGTAATGTGTTTTGGGAGAAGTCGAGGTGTATAATTCTAATTTTAGACTTTACTAACTGCAAACAATGGTGTTGGAAAGTCTAAATTCATTTTATTCCAAAAATACTGGCCACTGTAATCAGTATTTTGATTGAAACCATTTAATTTGCAAATATAAAGCTACATTCCAAAAAGTAAAACTAAATGCTTTTCATCTGGCCATTTAATATTTGTTGACAAATTTGATTTCATAAAACACCTCTACTTTCTTCACACATTATCATAGAAGAATTTCTATAAGTTTTATATCGTTACCCCTATAACTATCCTTATTGCTAGCCACTCAGCACAGTGGCCACACATGTTTCTCCCAGCAAGACAACATGTTACATAGGTCTCCAGGAAGAACAGACGATAGTCAAGGTCAGTTAAACACAATCAATGAACCTGCCCAGGGACGACAGGTGGAAATGAGCTCTGGTGCTACAACCTGGTACAAGCATCTCTCCTGTTAAGGTTCATGTCAAAATTGTGTGCCATCCCAGTCTTAAAAATAATTTAAAATATGAAATTCACAGTGTTTCCACATAAGTTACATAGTGGGGAAACATTCAGCACATTATTCAAGCTCCACATGAAAACCTGGCTGGACACCTTTAGCCACAACTCCCCTCCTGGTCACCTTTTACATCATGTGACTCCTCCCCTCTCCCCCTCCTGGTCACCTACAGTCTGCTTCTCAGTCACCTTTGGCCAGCCTCATGTGGACCTGCAGCTGCCCTGTCCCAACCTCAGCGGCTGGAGCACTGCTTGGAGCGTGTGCAAATGCTCTGCTGATTGTCTTGTGCACACGGTAGTAGCAGGAGATGCTCTGCCTGTGGAGAGGGGAGGGTGTGGTTAGTCCAGGTGGTTTGAGATGGACAGGTCAGAGGGAGGCCACCTTTTGTGAAGTTGGGGAGTGTGGTGGGAGTGAATTATACCGTGCTCACACCAAGAACAATGTGAGCGCGTTGAGCTCCCATTCATTTCAGGCTGGAGCAGCAGTAGGGTGGTCCAGAAAAACATGTAAAAAAATAAGTTTTAAATTTCTCGATTTGAACCCAGCAAACATTGACCATAAATACAAAAGCAACAGGGTTAAAATTTCAGTGAAATCCAACATGATTTAGAGGTTGCACAAGCCTTTAAGTTTCAAGAATTCTCTCTCAAATAACAAAAGTGTGTCTGTTTGTCACACTGCTTTGTGTCTGATGAGCTGGCAGGATTACATACTCTACATTTTGCCACTTTTCATTAAATAATCCATTATATTCTTTCAATAAGCAATAATCTCTGCAACAGTCATACCAATTTAGCAGAGACAGAATAGTTGTCATATGCAGTGTTGGGAGTAACGCGTTATAAAAGTAACGAATTACAGTAATGCATTACTTTTTGCTGTAACGCAGTAATGTAAGGCATTACAGGGGAAAAAATAGTAATATTTTACTAGGTACAAATGTGAGTAACGCGCGTTACAATGTTTTTTTTTTAACCTGGATTGAAGTGGTGGGTTTTTCTTCATACAAATTCGCTAAAATCACCTCGATATCAGCAGCGGTGAAACACCGGAGATGCGCCCTCATAGACCTTCAGGTAACCGCGGGCGAAAGGACTGACAAAGAACTCCACGCTGTTTAGACCTGGTTTAGACCTGGGTCAGTTCTGGTTTAGACCTGGTTTACGCTCGTCCTTCCCTCTATCGCAGTTCACTTTTCGCGGTCTCGCAGATTTTTTATTTTTGTTTTTTTTTTTGTGTGCAATTTTGCATGCCCTTTTTTTTACATTGTATGAACACGTGTTGTGTTCCTCCCGCTGCGTCCTGACTGGCCAAGGGACTCCTGTCTCCTGTACAGTACAGTACAGAATGTGTTCAGCTGCCAAATTTAAATACATGTTTAATCTCTAGCAGTGTGATTCTGAAGTGCTGTACGGTTGCAAGTTTTCTCCCCGACGAAACCCACAACGTCGACGAAACGTTCTGCACCGACAAAGGCTCCTGCACTCGCACCCAAAAGGCAGAGGAAGATGCAAACCATCACACAAAAAGTTGGACTTCTGGACACGCTGAAGGAAGGTAGAAGTTACGCGCTGTAACAGATTCTTGCACCGGCTCGGGTACCTGCAAATAGTTGCTGAAATCAGGGCCGCGAGCCCGAGCAGCAGGGTGACAGCCGCTCTTACCTCCGTGAGGTGCGGAGCAGAGCCGCTCCTTTCTCCTGCGGTCACCTTCGAGCCCGTCCCTACAGTGAGTCATGTTTTAGTCCTAGTTTAGACCTGGTTTAGTCCTGGTTCAGTCCATATACAGTGCAAAAGATATTTTTGTGAGAGTAACTTAAAGTAATGCAATAGTAATGTAATGCCTTACTGTAATGCCTTTAAATGCAGTAATATTGTAATGTAACGAATTACTTTGAAATGACAGTAATAGGTAATAAATAACGCATTACAGTTTCAATGTATACTGTACAGCATGACTGCTGAAGACAAACTTTAGAAAAAGGCTATGAGGAAAGATTTGTCAACTTAACATTGCTGATAGTGTTGGCAAGTAAATTTCTGTTTTCTATATACAAAACCTATGCAATAGTTTGTCAAATTTAATATGAACAGTGCTAATATTAATTAAACACTGACTGATTTTTTTTTTAAGTTTGTACTAAATTTAGTGGATTATTTTTCTGCTGTAGTAGCCTCTTTGGATGACTGGAATATTTCCAGATATGTCAAAGGTCTCTGCTTTGATACAACAGCAAGCACACAGTTTCAATGGTGCTTGCATCCTCATCGAAAGGGCTATTGGACGAAATCTTCTACACTTTGCATGCCGCCACCATATCTTGGAAATTGTCCTGGACAAAGTTTTTCATGCACTGCATATAACAACCTCTTCTGGACCAGATATTGCCATATTTAAACATTTTAAAGAGAAGTGGTCTTCACTTGACACTGCCTCATTCTCTACAGCTGCTGAAATGCCAGATGTAACCCCTTTCAAAGATGAGATATTGCTGTTTGCAAAGGAACATCTTGAAAAAAAACTGCAAAGAGATAACTACAAAGAATTCTTAGAGCTTGCTGTCATCTTTCTTGGTGGATCTCCAGCAAGAGGAGTGCATATTCAGGCCCCTGGTACAGTACATAGAGCACGCTGGATGGCAAAACTTCTTTACCGTTACAAAATCTGGCTGTTCAGGAAACAATTTAAACTAAGAGTATGTGAAGAACGTGGGGTCTTCCACTTCCTGTTGTTTGTGACCCAAGTTTACATCCGTGCTTGGTTTACAGCACCCATGGCCGCTGAAGCACCATCAAATGACTTGCAATTCATGCAGGCTCTATATACATACAGTTATCCAATTGTTAAGGAAGCAGGACTGACTGCATTCAAGCGACACCTTTGGTACTTGAGTGAAGTCATGATGGGGCTTGCTTTCTTTGATCACAATGTCAACACACATCAAAAGGTACAGATGGTTAGGGACATGCAAGAAAGAGGGATCACGCCACGTTCCCCACCGTCTTGATGCAAATGGAAGCTATGAACAGAAGACCCTCAGCAATTTTGTAACAAAGAATACAAATGCATTCTTTACTATTCTTGGTCTGCCACAGTCATTTCTGCAAATGCCACCTGAAACATGGAAGGAAAATGAGGAGTTCACTTATGCAGAGAAGGTAGTCCAATCCCTGAAAGTTGTGAACGACACAGCAGAACGGGGAGTGAAGTTGATCCAGGACTTCAATGCTATATTAACCAAATCAGAACAACAGAAACAATTCCTACTACAGCTGGTTCAAAATCACAGAAAAAGCTACCCTGACTCAAAGACACAGTTGTCAAAGGTCTTGCCACTTCTTCAAGTGAGCAGGCAGTTTGAACTGACGGTTATCGGGTTAGTCATTTTCATCAAATGATAATTTTTTATATAAGTTTCATTATATTATGTTACAACATGTGCTTTATGCATATATATTATATAAATATATATATTAAACCTATAGCATATAAGGAATAAATACTTTGAAAATTGATATTTCTGCTGATTTATACTATTTGGCTAATAAAGAGATAAAAAGGTGATTTTTCTATGGTGTTGTGCAACCTCTAAATGTCATTTAATGTACCTCAAATTTTTATGTGTTAACTTTAACTGGTAGTAGGCCAAAATGCTTGGTTCAAATTTGAAGAAAAAAGAAAAAAGTTTTTTTGGGCCACCCTAAGCAGGAGTCTAGAGGAAGTGAAGAGGAGAGCAACGTAATCCAAGCGACCTGGGCATAGCAGAGTTGAACTGAAATCACTTTTATCCAAGTGTGGAGCAATATCTACTTAAAGATGCTTTAACAGACACATGTGAAGTGTTGGTCACAGCCCTAAACTTGCTCCTAATAACCCCAGCACGTGGTTAACTTCCTGTAGAGGGCTGAAGATGACAAGACTGAACTGCGTGTGCAGAAAAGCACTTTTGTTGCTCTTTGTGTGAGTGCAGTGTGAGGGAGTGGCAGGTGAGGGTTCAGGACAGGTGAGTGAGGGGTACCTGTACTCTGGGTCTATAGGGGTGGTCCGGGGCCTTCTGCTGGCCCATCCAGGGTACACTACCCCATTGCTGTAGTCCAGGCTGATCTCATTCTCATACACCATGTAGTCGTCCAAAAACTGGTTAAAAAGAGAAGTTGCTTTGGCATCTTTTTTTCTATTACAATACTATAGTGCATAAAAATAAAATTCAACACTTTGAAAACATCTCAATGTGGATCTTGTGTGGCCCCCACATGCTTGTCTCATCAGGAGTATGTCACGACTTTGTCAAACCTGCATATGACTGGTGAGACATTAAATCTCCTTACAACGGCACGTCTGGTTGTGCCATCCTCAAGAAGCTGGACAGTTCGTGCAACTTCTGTAGGGTTACCGAATGGCCTCATACTCCCAGTAGTGATGATCACTGAGGTCAAAGCAGCATGAGTGGAAAACCAGCCACAAAAGACCAAGAGGGAGACACTTGGAATGACCACTTGACTCCACATGCAAAAACAGTCCTGGTCTTAGTTGTTGAACCACTCTGGAATAGAAGGATGTCACTTATAATGGAAATAAACAGGTGAACCAAAGACACTGCGAGATGAAGCATTTTCAAAGTGTTTTTTGAGCAGTGTGTATTTTCCTCACAGTGTGGGATCATTAGTTACATTGGACTGTGGAATGATTCAATTTTAAACTAGAAAAGCACTCAGAGCGCAGACCTCCGCCAAGGACTACAGTCCCCCTCATATTGTGTTTTCCATAAATATTTGTCTCGTATCTTTCAATTTGGAATATGAAAGAGGATCCGATTGTCCATCCCTGAGTCAAATTTCATGGGGTTTGGTCATTAATCGAGATATTGAGAAACAAAATTTTTGGCCCCATTTACCACAATGTTAACTAAAATTTCAAAGTGATCCAGAATCCAGGATTTCTTCCAGATCACCCCCAAAATGAAATCAGTTCTTCCTTTCCACATTTCCAACAAATCCTGAAAATTTCATCAAAATCGGTCCATAACTTTTTGAGTTATGTTGCTAAAAGACAAAAAAACAGACAGACAAACGCCGGCAAAAACATAACCTCCTTGGCGGAGGTAAAGATTTAATCTGTCTAATGGTCAGTGATCATCTTGTTTTTAATAGAAAGGTCTACAGTCTGTCAGGAAAAGCATGTGGTTTGGAGCAAACATAAGACTTAAATTTGACTTTTTGGTGTTCTGCACAGATTATGAAATTCTATTTGTTATAAAACTGATCAGTATGTGTGGAAAGGGAAGTCTGGGCCTCCCTGGTCAGACTGCTGCCTCCAAGACGTAACCGGGCCCCGGATAAAGTGCAGAAAATCATAGTGAAACTTATAAAACATCCATCCATTTTCTCCCAGTCTGTTCTCCTGTGCATGCATGAGTGTGCATTTTGCTAATGAAACTACTGCACATCACATCAGGTTTGTCATGTTGCAGTGTACAGTTTTGCATCATGTTTTCATACAGTAGATTGATGGAGAATGTGTGGAGCATGGGTGATGGAGGCTTGTGGGTTGAACATCTTGCACCTGACCATAAGGAGGGTTCAAATAGGGCCCAGGAGAAAATCACTAAAAATACTCACATGTATGAATGACATCTAAAACTTCTTCAGGCATGTTTTTGGTGGTTACAAACAAGGTAGGAGATTTAAAAAAAACAAACATTGCATAATAATACCCCTTTAAACAATACTTGATTACCACCAATAATGCTGGTGCTGTGCTTTACCGTCCTGGAGGTTCCACAGGAGTCCACAGTGAAAGAGAAGAGGGCTGACCGCTCCGTGATTCTGACCGGTCTACAGCTCCGATCCCTCAGCCTCAGCCTGTCCAACTCCAGACCAGGGACGGACTCCAGCTTCACAGCCAGAGCGCTCATGGTGCCATTAGGGTAGCACTCTGTGGAACAGGTCAAAGATCACTGTGGTCAGATTAGTCAGGTGCAATACAGCGGGTACACACTATACACAAGTGGACTAAGTGACTTCACTCAGTATTCAGCTCCTGCCAAATGAAGCTCATCGAGGCTTGCAGTTATAGGGGTGGATTTGGAGCAGAGTTCCATATCTGGCTCTTTGGTTGGTACTTGCGGTATGTATTCCAATCAGTACTGAGACAGCTCATTGGTCTTATTCATGTTTGCATCTCGAGTTTGAGACAAAATGGCTAAATATAAACCCAAGGATCATGTAGAGTAGGCTAATACAAATATGTTAAGACTAAAACCATGAGTCTACCAGCAACAGGGGTGACGTTTTTTCAATTTATTAAAAAAAAATAAAATAAATCAACTGGAGCCGGAAGCACACCCATGCTCATTTCCTATTTAGAACATGGTGGCTAGCAAGGCTTGTTCTGAATAACTCAAAGGTCCTAGCCCCTAACTCCTTTACCTTTGGAGCTAACGTGAGGTGGTCAGTACTGTCGATGTGAAGTTTAGATGTATGTCAGTTGATGCAGGGGTTAAAAATCAATGTAGCGTACGTGTGGTGGTAAGGGGGAAATGGCAGGCCAAATACAGGTCACCCACTGTCCACTGGTTTTTGGGGTCCCAAAGGAGGATGTCCAGCCGCGCCCGGACTGAGTCAGACTCCAGCACCTGCATCAGGATAGATCACAATTGCACAGTACTGATTGAGTTCAAGATTTACTTTTGTCAATAATGGCTACATAGTACAAGAAAGTTTGTTTTTGTGACATTCCTGAAATATTCCACAGTATGGCATAACTTGTACATGACATGTCAAAAAGAAATTCCTTCTTCATCTGTGATACACCCAGTCCAAATGGTTCAACTCTGACAGCTGTACCTCAAAGGCCGTGTTCTGGGCCGTGTACGGGACCTCGAAGTAGAAGTGTGTGGCATTCTCTCTGAAGCGGTACTCCGCAGCACTCTCTGCCGTCAGCACCTGGTACCCCACCAGAGTCTCAAACGCCTGGAAATTAGAGCCCTGGTTTCCATAGGCAACAGTGATGTGGAACTTCTCCTGGTCACAGCTGGCCGACAACGTAGGCAGTACTGGACACAGCAACAAGTTAAAGGGTCAGAGTTAAAGGATAAGGGTAGAGCTGGGAGAGCTCTTGGTAGGTGGCAAAACCAAAAGATCAAACCCAGTACTGTGGAACTCAAACTGGAATGACTCACTGAGGGATGTTTTGATGATACCTGAGGCTATTGGTGATCATTTTGTCTGACATTAGAACTATGGTTGCACATAATTTAAATCACATTGAAAGCAATTTTTTTTTTTTTTTTAAAGCATCGAGACTGATTAGCTATGAACTTCTAAGAGAAAAATAAATTTTTTAAACATGACCAGAAGTAGTAACTTGCAGGAATCTTGTATTAGTTTACAACTTATTTGCATTTCAGGACATGTTTGCAGAGGTTTAGACTACAGGGTTAGCAGCTTTTACACAATATAAGACCCCATGGCACCTTCCACACAGAGAGTGCACCTGACACAGGGACATTTTAGGACATGTTTGGTTTAAATAACAAGGTTAATAGTTTTATACATAATGCATGATATAATTTCCTCTGCACGATAGAAAAATATTTTAAATCCAACTTGAAATTGCAAATTAGACTTGTGTAGTTTTGCAGGTTTATTTAGAACCTATAGTTTGTGTCTAAAAACCTCATTTAGATTCTTTTAACCAGTGAATCTGAAATCAAAATGGCCACATGCTACATTCGGAAGGGAAGGGTCTCTGGCTTCTGGTCCTAGACTCACCCACGTCGTGCAGAGAGGCCTGCAGCTCAGTGCTCACAGAGAAGGACGACAGCTCTGGCACCACCACCAAGCCCAGAGTGAGGGGCAGGGAGTACACAGTCACCAGGGGCTCCGGGTTCTACAAGAGAAGGGCAGATTAGAACCACACTGTTTGCAGAATTACAGTCTAAATGGAATTCTATGAAGGCCAAAACATCTAGTACATATAGACCATTTCAATCTGTACATGAGCACAGAGGCCTTTGTCACATCTGGTACTCCAACTGACACACGCTGAACCTCCATGGATCTGTCAGAAGTCTTCTCCCAAAACATTGCTGTATTTGACTAAAGCTTCACGTTGACTTTTAAGCAAGGCAGCTACAATCTTTAGCCCAAGTTCTATATTGTGGTCATACAGACTTGTCAAAGCCTCATCCCGTAGGCGGGTACTTTTTATCATTTAACCAATCGCTATGTGGTCGTGACATATGTAATGCACAATAATACCATAGGAAGAAGGGCAATAACGTCTTTCCTCTTGATAAAATTCACTAAACATTCTCTTTATTCCGGCTTTAAATCCTCGATCGTGGGAATCATTGACAACACTGACTATATGGCTCTTGGCTGGTGCCCGAACTTGCACTTGCCCATTTTTTGCGAACCATCTAGTGTATTCTGGTTCCTGACCTAGTTGCTGAAGAGAAATAAAATTGAGTGGAGGCACTAGGTGGCACCAGTCTGGCTAATGTTTCAACCCATGAAATCACAATCCGGGGAAAATGTATGTGATTGTGACTGCAGTAGGCCCGCTGCCTCTGTGCAAAGGATCACTGAGCACTGTGAAAGAATACTTGTCCAGGTTTTGTCCAGGTTTTGTCCAGGTTTTGTCCAGGTTTTGTCCAGGTTTTGTCCAGGTTTTGTCCAGGTTTTGTCCAGGTTTTGTCCAGGTTTTGTCCAGGTTTTGTCCAGGTTTTGTCCAGGTTTTGTCCAGGTTTTGTCCAGGTTTTGTCCAGGTTTTGTCCAGGTTCTGTCCAGGTTCTGTCCAGGTTCTGTCCAGGTTCATGTCCAGGTTCTGTCCAGGTTCTGTCCAGGTTCCAGTCCAGGTTCATGTCTGTGTGATGGGTTGTCAGAATGACGTATATGGGAATAAGGGATGTACCCCGACCGGAGAGGAGCTTAAAAGAAGTTTTGTTGTATTTCCAGAGTTCACTGTGTGCTGTGACACTGCAGGACACAGATGAGCGACACTTTGGGGAGAGTAACAGCCCAAGGACTAGACGGGCCTAGCACCAGATCTAAAGACACTTTCTGATGACCCTCTCTTGAGCTGCACTGAGACTTATTGTATTTCACTGTGCAATGTGCTTTTTAATTGATATCTGGGGGTGTCAACATCATAGACACTTTCAAAATAAACAAAATCTCTAAAATCTGCAGAGCTGCACTCACATGTCTCCTGACCACGTCCTCGCTGAAGGCCAGGCTGACGGAGAAGATGCGTGTGCCGTTGGGGTAGTCCTCCTGATGCACGCTGAAGCCTCTTTTCACACACTCCTCCACAGAGAAGGTCCCCGTGAAGAAGGTGATATTCCTCAGCTCCACATCCTGAAGAAATGTGCCCACTTGAAGAGAGAAGAGCCGCGCCGCCGCCACCGTCTCTGTGGAACCAGGACGGTTCACTGGTTATGTTTACAACAATACAGTTTAAAGTGATTCTCTAATTTTGGCTTAATTTGGTGGGATAACACCTGTAAATATAAATTACAGTTTTACACCAACCAAGAAGCAATTTGTGAAGAAAAGTTGAAAATTACTGGAAGTAGAGTGTTCTATTGATGTGTGGCTTGCAACCATGGTCTTAAGAATGGCTCAACTCTCTACCGAACATTTTGGCTTTGCCATATAACCAGCAGGGGGAGTAATGAACCCAAACTCACGGTCAGAGATGTGGGGGGGTCGGGGCATCAGCGGGGTGGTGATGGGGAACAGGACCTTATAGCGAGTGTCATCTCCACTCTGGGATGACCTCCACAGGACCTCCAGCATGGGTTCCACGCTGAAGCTCACGTGGTACTGGTGGTCTGGGGCATGGCTCTTAACACAAGCACAGACAGGTAAGCAGGGCCTTTCTCAAATGCAAAGCATCTTGCCTCAGTCTGATCTGAGTGTGGTAGGACATACAGGTCACGGAACACTACTTGGAAACTCACTGCCCCAAGTCTGTGACCTTGGATTGGAAGGACTTTGGAGCAACTGGGTCAAGGTTTCAAAGTGTGACAATAGTTCAGTGAGCTGCAGAGGCTGCACTAGCACTGGCTCATGACTGGCTGCAGATGCTGGGGTTTAGATAGTGACCATTCAGATCAGAGAGGCATTTTAGGTTTAAATCAGGTTTCATCTGTATTTTCATTGCTCATGTGCTTCTAAAGAACTCTGGTTCAGCCTTTACCTTGTAGTATCCGTCGGGAGTGCCCACAGGGATCTCCATGACAATGTGGAAGTCCTTGGTAGTGAGGGAGTAGCCACGGGCAGACAGCTGGCTCGGATCCAATCTGTGCCCGCTCATGCCCATGTACAGCTCCTGGATCCTGGCACCGCTGTCTACCAGGGGGGTGACCACACGGGGTATGTGCCACAAGATCAGCCTTTCTGAGAACAGCACGCCACCTACAGGAGAGGCAAGAGCAGCACATTTGAGTGGTACAAGAGTAACTTAACACTTAGTATTAGACAGACTGGATTCTTGTGTGCTTTAAGCCATGTTATATTTTGTTACCTCACCAAAAACATATCCAGAGTCATGTTTTGTTTTATTAACACACTTGAGTAACTGTTTATTACTAGTCCCATCTACATCTCCAAAAACATTCTCTGTTCCACCTTGTGAGTCGTGTGATTAGCTGAGAGTGGACAGCAGGGGTCAGATTTATGGATTTTATGTAATACAGCATGGTGGGTTTATTTCCTGTTTTTACTGATGCCTGCTGTAACTTCACATGCATTCAGCACCGTAATGCAGCACACCTGTGGACATGGAAATGTTTTTATTGGCTGGTGGAAGAGGGTGAAAGGGACTCACAGAATCCAGACAGCAGAGACGAGGCACACTCACCAGGGACCACAAGTGTTACGAGGCGACATACAAGCAGGGGCAGGGCATGAGAGTAAAGTGAATTGTATTAAGACTTGTTGGAACGTAGCATAGGGCCGTTGCAGTTGTTCGGGCTGGACACTGCCACTGATTTTGATCCACACAGATGTTAGCACGCCAGAGCCAGCAAGGAGGATCTGGGTGAGTGATTGTGACGTGTAACAATCAGGGGCAGATAACTGCGTGCCGTGCAAGTATTGTAGCAACACTCCACCAATGTAGCATAAGGCCTGGATGTCCCGTAGTCTCTCGTGCTCATTAATATTCTGCATTACAGGTGACCTGGTGCGTGTGATCGAGGGGGACTCTCTGGACCTGCTCACTGGCCATCAGGTTCTCTGCACTGCACTTTAACCTGTACTGGTGCTTTTTAATGGTCTTTTAACTATTTTTAGCCAACTCTGATTTACTTTTATTTTACCAAATGACTTAATTTTGGGGAATTTTTTATCATTGCCTTTACCAATTTTTGGTAATAAATTTTATTGTTAACTGGCCCAGCTCTTGCCCTCTTTGGTGACAGTTATGTGCTCAGTCAAATCGCCCTTACCATAGCTTCCGGTTCCATCATTCATATTCCATTTCCAAACATAGCCATAACCCTCACATTTAAACCCTTCATTTAACCCTGGAATAGTTCAAATCCAACCTGAGATGCTGTTTGGTCATAGACTGCATAAAGAAGAGGACAGTAAGAGTGTCATCACTCACAGCATTCAACTTCAACCAAATCAAGTCTAGCAGTTATGAGCCAATTTGGAGCCAAGCTGCATATTTGGTTACTATGATACTCGTGGTTGGAATTCAGGACAGGGGGCTTGCACTTCGCAATGCTGCCAGTCAAGAGTGAATTGGAACCAAATTGAGTTGGGAAGTGAGCATGGTTGCACCATTTATAACATGGTAGCTAGCAGGTCTTTTATATCCATAACCCATATACACTCTGCAGACCACCTCAAAAAGAGATTAACATAAAAAAGTTTGTCAGTCATTTCAGAAAGACATTCATTGACACCATCCATGAGGAGGATAAGCCAAAATAAAGGTCATTGCTAAAGAAGCTGGTTGTTCTTAGAATGCTGTATCCAAGCATATTAGAAACTTGAGTGGAAGGGAAAAAGTAGTACTAAAAGGTGCACCAGCCAAATGGATGACCAGTCTTGAGATTCTCAAAGAAAATCCACTCAAGAATTTGTGGGAGCTTTATAAGGAGTGGACTGAGGCTGGAGTCAGAGCATCAAGAGCCACTTTGCACACATGAAGCTCAGTGGTTCAAAGTCCTCTTTTCAGATGAAAGTAAATGTTGCATCTGTTTTGGAAATCAAGGTCCCAGAGGCGAGAGAGGCACAAAATCCACATTGCTTGAAGTCCAGACTGAAGTTTCCAGAGTCGGTGATGATTTGGGCTGCAATGTCATGTGCTGGTGTTGGTCCACTGTGTTTGCTGAAGTCCACAGTCAGTGCAGCCATGTACCATGGTATTAGGTGCTTGATAGGCCTGCACACTTCTGACCTGAACTCCATAGAGAATCTCTGGGGTTTTGTCAAGAGGAAGATGAGATGCCAGAGCCAGCAATGCAGATGACCTGAAGGCCACTGTCAAAGCAGCCTGGGCTTCCACTACACCTGAGCAGTGCCACAGGGTGACGCCTCCATGCTACGGTACACTGATTCAGTAATTCATGCCAAAGGAGACCCATCCAAATATTGAGTGCAAAGAAATGAAGCCTGACATTTGTTTAAAACTTTAATTGATCTTATGTAATATTCTAATTCACTGAGACACTGAAATGCTTATTATCCGTTAGCCACAATCATAAAAATCCAAGAAAAACTCTTGCAATATTCTTATCTGAGATTGACTAGTAGGGGTATGAATTTCTGAAAAATATTGAACTTTCATGATACTGACATGAATTTCTGTATATGTGAGGCAAAGACGCAAACCATTACACCACCCATCACGTGTGTGCTCACCAATGGGACAGGCCGCAGACATGTCAGTGACGCTGAGGCCAGAGGGGGCGCTGTAGTACACACTGACCCGCAGCACCTCCATCGGGATCCCTGCCACCTGTAGCACACACAGCCCCCCCACACACACGTTACAGCTCAACTGGTTGAGAATTTTGACCCGTCTCCAGCTCTGTTTAAGTGGAATTTGTGGAACTGTCAGATTGCTGATTTGTTGACCTGGTTTATGATAATATCCAGTTACTTACAGTGTCAACAAAAATTTAATCTTTTTCCCCCCACAGTAGCCAGTTGGTGCCATTGTTCAACCCCATCAGATGAAAGGGCACAGAGTCATAAAGATTAATATGGCAATCATATGGATCTAATCTCAAATGAGGTTTAACACCTGTTGAGCACAAATTTGGGAATTTAAGCTGTTTTTTTTTTTTTTAAACATGTTTAATGTGTGCTTTGTGTGTCCATTCCACCATAGATGTATGACACTCCCAGCCAGAAGTGCAAAGTATCATGTACAATAAAGTTTCAGATGTGTTGTATAAATTATTTTTATATTAATTATATTTATATTTGATTCAACAAATATATATGTATACATATAATATATATAGGCCATGGTTCTCGACCGGAAAAAGGTGGCTTGCCCTCTCCGGGTGGGTGGGGAGTCTTTGCCTCAAGTGGAGGAGTTCAAGTATCTCGGGGTCTTGTTCACGAGTGAGGGAAGGACGGAACGTGAGATTGACAGGCGGATCGGTGCAGCTTCGGCAGTGATGCGGTCGCTGTATCGGACCGTTGTGGTGAAGAGGGAGCTGAGTCGAAAGGCGAAGCTCTCGATTTACCGGTCAGTCTTCGTTCCTACTCTCACCTATGGTCATGAGCTCTGGGTAGTGACCGAAAGGACGAGATCGCGGATACAAGCGCTCGAAATGAGTTTCCTCCGCAGGGTGGCTGGGCGCTCCCTTAGAGATAGGGTGAGGAGCTCAGTCACACGGGAGGAGCTCGGAGTAGAGCCGCTGCTCCTCCACGTCGAGAGGAGCCAGTTGAGGTGGCTCGGGCATCTGTTCCGGATGCCTCCTGGGCGCCTCCCTCGGGAGGTGTTCCGGGCATGTCCCGCCGGGAGGAGGCCCCGGGGAAGACCCAGGACACGCTGGAGGGACTATGTCTCTCGGCTGGCCTGGGAACGCCTTGGGGTCCCCCCGGAGGAGCTGGAGGACGTGTCTGGGGTGAAGGAAGTCTGGGAGTCCCTGCTTAGGCTGCTCCCCCCGCGACCCGGCCCCGGATAAGCGGACGAAAATGGATGGATGGATGGATATAATATATACACATATGTATATGTGTGTTCAAGTTGGTTATTCAAATAATTATATATTAGGAATATATAATTTATACAATACATCTGAAACTTTATTGTACATGATACTTTGCACTTCTGGCTGGGAGTGTCATACATCTATGGTGGAATGTTCAGTGGTTACCATGGACACAAAGAGCACACATTAGCAAATACTGTTAAGTGTCAAGGTAGTCTGGGAAAAAAAAAAGATTTAAAAAAAAACAACACTTTCAGGAGCCTATAATTAAGATGAGCATTCATGTTCCTTGGTTTGATTTTCAATACAAAAGGTGAGTGAATAACTAAAAACTGCACAGAACAAATCAGCTCACCTGTTGTAGTTCCAACAAAAAACAAAACAAAAAAAAAACTTGTATTTGGTCAAATCACTTTTTGGTAAGATTGTGTTAAAATAAATATTAAATAATTCTGACAGTGCCTTGAGTTAGCATCACACCCCCAGAGAATGTTGAGGACACATGAGCTGTAAAGTGTCCACAAGTGAAGGGCCTGTGTCTCCCGCTCTGCTCTGAGCAGACTTGTCTAGTCCTCTATGTCCTGTGTCCTGGGTGAGTGGGCCTTACATCCTCAGAGTAGGTCTCTGGTTTGTGGTAGGGGCTGCGGACCACCAGGCGGTTGGCAGAGGTGTGGGCTCCATACCCGGCCTGTTCAGCCTCCTTCTGCATCATGGGCACCGCTTCAGGACTGTAGAACGTCAGCTTCCAGATGCCACCCTTCTCTGAGCTCTGGAGGAAACAAATGCAATTTAATTTTTAAAAAGGTCCTACATTAGGCAAAATGATTGCTTTTAGCCATGTTAACATGTTGTCGCGTCCTCCAAAACAAGTCACGTTTCATTTCATTCCCAAATTTAATCCTGCATTATTAGTCCGTCTACATCTCCAAAGTTCAAAATCCTCTAATCCTTGTCATGGTGTTAGTCAAGTAGAAGTTTACAGCTTTTACCTTTAGTTCAACAGAGTTTGGCAATTCCACTCAAAATATCACTTTAGAATTTAACAACACAATTTTGCCTTCTCACATGTACTCAAGGCTCATTTTCAGATTGAAATGTGTAAACTGTAAGCCTAACATAATATTCCATACCCCAGGAATCACATTCATTTGTGGGTCATCTTTAATACTGGAGCCTTTAGGACCCATGGGATCAGTCGGAGAGTTGGGCACCGGAATGCTGTGAGATACCTGAGGAGACAGAAACATTAGTCCAGAATCCATGTGTAGATTTTAGGAGGGCCTCTAAGCCCAAGCTGCATTTATTTCAAAGACTTGGACATGTATGATGTCCAAACTTAATTTGAAATTTAAGTCTAAGCTGATATTAAGAAGTCGACATGAACATGTTAGGATTTATGACCATCATAAGTTTTGTTACTAAAATAATGAGTACAGCCACATTTGTTTAGTTTATTTAAAAGTTAAATTTATTAAAAGGGCTCCGCTAACATGAACCCTCCCCCTTTCTAAGGCCGCAGTTAGGATTTGTGTACACTACTTAAAGCACAGTGCTTGCAGGGCTAGTGTGAGGAGCCCATACCTCCATGTAGTTGCGGTCACAGAGCACCTCCCTCTGGGCCCAGCGGGAGAAGCTGCAGGTCTGCTGCACATCGTGGGAGATGATCTCAGGAGACGTGGGGTTAAACATCTCCAGCCTTAGGCCCAGCTCAAACGTACTGTCATCCTACAGCACACACAAAACTCAGGCTACATTTACACATAGCCGGGTATTTTGAGAAACGAATATTTCCCTCCCTCCATTTTCCAAAATAACATCGTGCAGACAGCATCGTTTACATCAACCGGCATAAACCCTACACCGAGCCTCTGGGCGGCACCTGGATTAGATTCAAACCTGTAGCATTTATGAAAAACGTGCATCAGTGAGCGGGCTCGCCACTCCACAAATATGTTAAAGTGGCAAAATCACTGAGCTCTGAGTCCTTGTTCATCTCTGCTCATGGATATGATCCATCAGCTGTGTGCACATGCAAAAACATGAAGTGTTTCACCAGAAGAAATAGATGAGCTGAAGCTGGGAGTGGTGTCCGGTGCCTCCACCTGAGAAGCGCTTTCCCGGAAAAAAAAAAGCGTGCGTGGACGGACACTCAGAACAACAAACAACGAACCAAACGGGATTCATGCTTCTGTCTGGATGCTTTGCACCACCTTGGAACGAGCCATGGTCGAGCGCAGAGGACAGGAGCAGCTCGCCCAGACCTGTGGTCCACAGCGCATTCTCACTCTCCCCACATGGAACCAGCTCGCCCCCGTCTGGAACCAGGACATGGAGGATGGAGCCTCCGGAACAAGCTGACTAACACTGGACCCCCAGCCTCGTCTTGAGGGCTGCGCGCTATGGTGACTGCTCCTGTCTGTTTAGCGCTGTTGCCCGAACTCAGAGCTTCTGCTCCGTGCTGATGTGCGGTGAGTTTGTACAAAGTTCTACATGCTGCTGTTTTATGAGTTCATGGTGATAACTTGAGATGAGGACGCCCGAGGTGTTAACAGGAACATGGATTCCTTTGGCAATTGGAGGAAGATTGGGAACATCGGTCTGACCCTGTCCAGGTCCGTATGAGATGGCGTCTGGACTATATACATCTATATATTTAAAATTTTAGCCCCCTCAATTTTCTTTTTGAAGCTTTTTAGGGGGTGTGATGAGTTAATCAGGGGTGTCGGACCCTCGCACCCCTTGTATTTCGCGCACTCATCAGAGCAAAAGGTAAAACATTGGTCACACTTTCGGCACGTGAACTCCTAAAACTCAGTTTAATCTCACTTTATACGCAAACGTGAAACCAGAGTTTTCCCAGAATCTCTAATCGGAGTTTTTAGAAAGATTTGTTTTCAGAGGCGAATTTGCCGTTTGCCTGTAAAAGATTGATACAAATGAAGGGAAATGTCTCAGTTTTTAAAAATACCCGTGTATGTGTAAACTGGGCCTCAGACGGTCCCTGTGTGGTGGAGGTGGTGGAGGTGGTGATGGAGGTGAATGTGATGGTGGTGGTGGTGTGCTCTAGCGGTTGTGGTGGTGGAGCAGCTCACCGTGTTGTGGATGTAGCAGCCCAGCAGGGAGGCGTAGATCCGGGTGTTGCCCCAGGGGTCAGACTCCATACTGTAACCACAGCGAGCAGCCAGGGCGGGGGTGAGCAGCACACGCCTGCTGCCATCTACAGGACACAACCAACACCAACACACACTTCAGCATATTCTCTCATCAGTTTTACTCATTTGGCAACATGAGCTTTTTGAAAACACATTTTTACATTTTCTGCTAAATCCTCAAGTTCAGCCAAAAGCCAGCTCTCCGTGGAAGTTTGTCTGGAATCTTCCACAGTACAGCATTAAACTTCTACATCTTGAACATATTCAGTGACAGGTGTTTTTGTTGTAGTTACACAGCGACTAAACACAGTGAAGAAAAAGGTGGAGTATGATTGAGGTATGAACTGATCACCACGCTGCCTTATTGTTTTGAAAATGCTCTATTGACCAAAAACATGCATTAATGTTTCCAAGTTTCGTTTTCATTTTTTAGGTTCGAGAATCCCCTCTATTTGCTCTCCATGCTAAGTCACTCCTCCTTCAGAGAGCCATCACCACACAATCAGTGAGCATCAGCTTTGTCAAGCAGTGAAGATGTGCAGTTAGAATCACATTTTTGTATATTTATAGGGAATAGTCGTGTCGGTGCATAGGTGACGTAGGTTTGTGGATGGAGCATTGCACATGTTGCAAATTTTGAAAATTTTAACTAGGTTATGTGTGAGGGTCCTGTTAAAAACAAGAAAACATAAGTCAGATTTTCACATTAATTTATGGCATGTAGGTAGTGATAAAAAGTGTTTTTTTTTTTCAAAGATCAGAAAAAGACTTTTCATATGGTACCAAACATATGTATTTTATGAAGCTCCTTCAGTTTTTAATTGTATCTTGAACATTGGAATTTGACAATGACACGAGTAAACAGTAACCATGTACCATGTCTTACTCCAGCAGCTAAGGTCACTAAACATTAAAAGACTGAATCAACTGGTTTGATAATTTTGATGTGACAAGTTATCTGACATCCAAGAAAACAGCTGTAGATTCTTCTCATATTAAAGAAACAATCAAGTCAGGTTCAACACTATGCAAATATTACAACAGATTTACATCTGGAAGCAGCCAAGAAGTGAGGAAACAGTTCTCTATCATGTTGGGATCGCCTAAGCAGGTAAAGAAAGTCTTATGGAGCCTTAAATGGAGAGTGCTAAGGTTGTCTGTTTAAGGGAAATTGCAGGATTTGTGGGAATTTATCGTATATTAAAAAAAAAAAAAAAAAATCATGAATCTTTATTCCGGGGTGGACCTATATAGTTCCAAATGCACATTTGTTTTTTTTTTTTTTTTTTTTTAAGGAGAGCCAGTACATGTTTGGATCACCATGGGACCAAGAACCGACTCCCAAGAAATTAATGAAGTGCACAGATGACGAAGCTCCTGATACAAGTTACAAGGCCACACCTCAGTCAACATGGTCAACTGAACCATCTAAAACCAGTCCACCAGGGATGAAAAAGCCTCCACAGTTTGAGGAGAATCTGGTGGTCAGACTTGTGGGGACTGTCCATGCTGCCATGACCTCGGCCAGAAAATCGAAAAGCTTCGGAACCGACTGCGGGTTTATGAAGATGTGCCTACTGATACTGTTTACGAATAAGACATACATGTTCTGTGTTCTGGGTTTAAAAAAAAAAAAATATTTATCAGTACCCACGTACCATAAATTACATGTGAAAATCGGACCATGTTACATTTTATTGTTAACAGGACCCTCACACAAACTATTTCAAATTTTCAATTGAAATTTACTTGGCGATTTTTTTTTTTCTAGCACATATCTTGATTCTCAAAAAAATTTAAGGGTCTCCTACACCTACAAGTAGGTTTAAAAATGAGCTAAAAAAAAAAAAAGGTACGCCACGGAAATGAACACTTTTCTTCATTTTTAAGTTAACATCTATTGAAAGTTTGGTATTATTTAAACACAGTAGAGGAGTACAAGAATACAAAATTTCAGCCCTCTGTGTGTGATACTTATGGAGATATCGACCTGTGAAAACGGCAGAGAAAAAATTACGCATGTTTTGGGCCCGTAAATGGACACATACTCCCTTCACTAAATGAGCTGTAACTGAAAAAGTATTGATTGAAAAGGACAAAAATTTTTCAAAATTTTAAAAAAATCATAATGCCTGAGATTTTCTGGAAATTTGATGAAATGGCGTGGAATGACCCTTATAGTTCAGTGGCTGGGAATACTGGAATTTCCAACTGGAATACTAGCAGTGTGAGAACATTTATTAGAGAACCTACTAAAACAAAACAATCTTAGTCAAGAACTACCATCGCCAATTTACATACATGACTATTTCACTTGTACTTGAATATTTTATAGTATACTATTTTTTACTCTAGTACATGTTTTCCCTCCCCTGTAAAACCCTCGTGTGTGACCCTCGTGTGTGACCCTCGTGTGTGACCCTCGTGTGTGACCCTCGTGTGTGACCCTCGTGTGTGAACTCACTGACAGCCTCCACCTCCAGCTGGTTGCCCACTGCCAACGCTTTATCCAGCGACAGGCGCATTAGATTCCCCATACACTCAGACCGGAGACCACTGCCTGCAAAACACCACATTTCACATGGGAAAATCTAAGACTTTAAAACAAATTCCTCCTCCTCCTCCTCCCCCCAAAAACATTTTTTTTTTACTTGTCTGTGAAGTGAGCTTTGATTTTGGCCTAGCCTGACATACGAGGATCACTGCGGCCAGCAACTTCCACAACAAACTGCAACAAAAAAATGAAGGTTAAAATGCAGATGACAGATTAAACTGACAATTTCCCTACATTTTTATTAAACATAAACAAGATTTATGTTTGTTGGGTTTTTTTTGGCAAAGGTTAAAGTGCTCTGTTATCACAAGTTCTCAGGTTTTTCTAATGCTGACCTGGTTTGGTGGATAGTACCTACGGTCACTAGTCATAGTTTTACATCAGTTAAATGTCAAAATGTGGGACAAAGTTGAAATACAGCAAAAATACAGAAAGTAGCAGTGAGTTCTAAAATGGAATCCCTCTGCCAGAGTCAAGACAGAAAACTCAGTCCAAAATGCAGAGAACTTATGTGCAACAAGGACATTTTATTGCAGTTTAAGCCTTCATTTAAATCAATGAAAAGTGTTGTCATTCATTTTTATCAGTCTTGGCCCTTTTCTGGAATGTTTCATAGTATGATATTAAACTGATATTAAAATTTCTGTCATCGCGGAGACTAAACCAAGTTACAGGTAAGATCTGTGGAGAGGCGACCCCGCTCACAGAATGTTTGTTTTTCAAGGTATTTTAGAGCTGTAAAACCACTTGTAATAAAAATAATTATAAACTAATAATAATAAATGTAGAGTGGTTTAATGTCATACTGTGGAGCATTCCAGACAGAACAAGTAACAGGAGTTACAGATTACATGGACCACCGTTACGTAATCAGAGTACAAATTATGAGTAACTGTATTCGGTTACTGGTGAAAACAAACTGCATAGGCTAATAATATCTGCAGTACACAAACACACACCATCATCGTCATCAACCTGAGAACACACGGACCATCCCGCCGTCCTCCCGTGCGCTGCGTGTGGACTGTGTTTTCTCGCGTACGCTGCGTAGACCACGCTTCCTCCTGTGCGCCTCTAGACCAGAACTAACACCAAGACTAAAACCAGGACTAACCCAGTCCAGGACTAAAACCAGGACTAACCCAGTCCAGGACTAAAACCAGGACTAACCCAGTCCAGGACTAAAACCAGGACTAACCCAGTCCAGGACTAAAACCAGGACTAAAACGAGGACTAAACAGTTGCTTATTCATGGAGACTTGGGCTCAACAGCCAATTTGAAAAGAACAAACATGAATTTGCAGGATGTGGTTGCTACATTCATGTAGTTTTAAAAAGCATGACAATATTAATTAATCCAAAGTATTCAGATTATGTTACTCACTTTAAGTAATTTAATGGATTACGTTACAAACTACATTTTGGGGTGTGTAATCTGTAATCTGTAGGGGAATACATTTTAAATTCACCTTCCCAACACTGACAATGACATGCATAGAAACAAAATGACAAACCCCGAATCAAAAAGTTAATGCACCTTTAATATGTCGTATCTGCTGCCTGCATAGAAATGACTGATTTCGCTTAAATTTCAAAACTGAAAATCTAAGTAAGATTTGAAGTCTAATCTCAAATATGATGCCAACTATGTTTTAGTGAAATTAATAATCCAAACCTGTCATAGGCAATTTAACAGTGTACTTCCTGGTTGGACATGAGCAGTAGATAAAAACAAACAAGAAAAACTTCATTGTGTGCAAACTGTGCATTTTGGATGTTCATCATGTTGACAGCATAGAGAGGCAAAGGGATTTTCTTTCACAACTCAATGCTACTGCCTGTATTTCTGTACTTTTACTACAAACTGCCACATAACTGATCATGAACATTCAACTTAGGTTCTATCCCACCAAATTCAAAACTCAAACACATAAAGCCTGTTGTATGCACTAAATACATATGTTCATGTGGACTTACATGTAGCCAGGGGCCTTCATATTGGAGGCAAAATCAGTGTCGAACAGAACAGCAGAGAGGGGCCCAGACAAAGCAGCTCCAGAGGGGGTGGAACCTAAAGTGCACTCACACCTGTGCCTAATGCGCTCGCACAGGTGTCACCCATTACCACAGGACGTGCACAGACACCAGTGACCATTAGGGGCGCAAGTTTACAAACATTATGGATCAATTGACCACTGACTTTACATTTGAAAATTGTGGCCCCTCTTTCCATAACTGGCTCCAGATTTGTCTGTGGCTGCTGACCTCCGTGACTACTGTGGCCAGTGCCTCTGGTCACTACTGGTAGATCCCCAAGGATGAATTTATAATGCACATAACAGGGTTTGATTATTCTCTCCTTTTGACTTAATTTGGTGGGATTAAACATAAGTTATATTTTTACAGCCATCAAGAAGCCATTTGTGAAAAAAAGTTTAAAAATATGTTGAAAATGACAGGAAGTAGAGAGTTCTATATTAGAGTTCTATATTGTTTGGCACATCTTACAGAAGAAGCACATTTTTCTGATATTTTAAACATAATTTCTACAAAATAAATGTGTTTTCTTATATTTTTATTTTTCAAAGGAATAATTTCTGTAGCCTATATATGGAAGTCCCAAGTGTGATGTCATGATTTCCAACCAAGAAGAAAAATCTGAAACCTAAAACACTCAAACTAACTTTACATGAAGTACTGTAAATGCCTTTGTTTCATTTCCTTTGTGGCCCTCTTCACATCACTAACATTTATGAGTGTCCATGAGGACAGGCTGAGTACTGCACAGTGACGAAGACCATTCAAAGCAGCATTAAAACCATTCAAAATACTCTCAGAAAACATCTTATCTTCCACTAGGTGTCGCCATAATCCAGGACATGTATCAGTATGAGCTACAGTAGCTGCCGGCAGAAGCAGCGCTCACATATTCAAGTTTATGTTTTGTAACATTTAGATTTACACACAGTAAATACAGTCAAATGTGTTTCATGTTTATTCATTTCATTTTTATTTAATGGAACTTTTATTCCGCTTGCAAATTGTAATGTTGTTTCTAAGGGGAATAATATGGGTGCACTACCTGCTCACTGGATGCACAAGAGGAGCTGAGTGTTCACATCAGAGGATGAGTCTGGCAAAAGGACATTGTTCATGAAGACGTCGTAAGATGTGAACATTATTCCCTTCGAGTGAATGTGGCCAAAGTGGTCCATTCTCTATTGTTTTATCACGTAATGACCTTTGTGTCTGTGCGTGTGAGGCTGTCACTTATTCATGTGTAATCAAGTATCTAGTGAATGCATACTTCATTTATTCATTTAATGTATCTTTCATTATTATTTGTGGAGAACCATAATTTAAGAGGGTTCATTTAAGGTTTCTTATTTTCTTTTCAATAGTTCTTTCAAACCTATACAAATAATGTACAAATAAATGTGATCAGAGTATGTGGACTGCACTCCTCTGTCCAGTTCAGTCCTCCTCTGATCCGCTCTCAGTACCCCCGGGTCTCCTTGTGCTTCTGGTCCAACAGTGTCTGATGGAGACTCACTTTGGCCTCTTCAAAGTCCGGGTTCAGTCTCAGAGTCTCCTCAAAGTCCTTCTTGGCATCGTCATAAAAACCTGTAAAATCACAAAGATGATCAGGAATATGGTCGAGTCTAGAGGAGGTAAATAGATTGATAAATGTACAATATCCCAATTGCGGGGGAAGATTGACTTTATTGTATTTAATTAAAAGAAAAGTGAATTCATTCACCTGGGCTCTTACAGTTTTTAAAAAGGAACTTGATTTCATCAAAAGAAAGTCAAAGAAAAATGAATTTGTTTTTGGTCAAATTTTATACCTAAATTTGCTTTGTCTTGCTTTTTTTTTTTTAAACCTTGGAAGCACAGGAGAATAAAAAAACACAGTTTAAAGTACAGACTGTTAATGTTAATTCAGTGCATGGTGGTGATGTAATGCCAGCGCTGGGCTGGTCCTTACCCAGCCTGTAGTGGATGAGTCCCCGGTTGTAGTATGGGATCTCAAACTCTCCCTGAGCCTGTATGGCGCAGGTGTAATCCTCCACAGCTTCAGTGAAGTTCACACGCAGGTACCGGATCTGCCCGCGGTTGTTGTAGGCAGTGGCCAAATCACTCGTGTCACAACTCCTGAAAACGCATGAGATTAGAGTGATGATGTCATAACTACATTTATGGGCCCAATGGAATTCCAACCTGGTGGCAAAACATGTACTTTTTGGTGTTTATCAAGATACTGCTGCAAGAAAAATGTACGCTTTGTATCATATCCTTTGCTGTAAATGTTCAGTCCCTTTTGTCCATGTATTTAAACTGATATTTTGCACAAATACTAAAGCCTTTAAAATCCAAACACTAGTGATGTGATGTTCGTGAATAAGTTGACTTTATGGAACGGCTCCATAAACAGCCTATATTACACTGTTTTCTGATCTATGTTATAATTGAGGAGATGACATTATAACATGACTTTAAGACATTGACAAGAGTCAATGTTGTGTAATATGGAACCTTTAACATGAATGCCTGGAACCAGAGCTTATTTCAATTTTTTTTGTATTTTTTAAACTGATTAATGCTAAGCCAAATGTAGAATCACCACAGAAGCAGAAAAGTCAAGAAAAGTGATAGCTTTGGCCACAAAAACATATTTGGCATCTTTAGTTATTCAAGTGTTTTATCGTAATGCAATGTTTTATTTAGATTTAGTTTCATTTCAAAATGTAAACACACTCCCACTCTCCGTCTGAACCATTTGAAACTAATCTGAGCCTCGGTCATTTCTCTCTGGGATTAGTTTGTAGAGTCATTTCTTACATTGGCTTCTGTCATAAAAATAAATATAAAAAAGAGAGTCTTTAAAATGAACAGACACCAAAAATCCTTTATCCTTTATCCTATCACTAACAGAATTTGAAATAAAAACATTTTAGGGTTGAGATTTTTCTATGTTTTTTTTTTTTTTTTACTTTTGATTTATTGCATGAATGTATAACATACTTAAGTCCCTAGCAATGTTATTTTTTAAAACCATAGTATATCTGAATTAAAAATAAATAAATAAATAAATAAATAAATAGCAGCCTTATTCAGTAGTATCCGGGCTAATTGTATCCTGCTGCAGGGCTTTGAGCAATGCGGTTTCATGATGTTTTAGACCTCGAGATGATGAGCTGTAATAGTTAAAAAGCAGAATAAAACTATTTAAGTAAGAATCTGTAACGAATCATACAAGTTATTCATTCAACTTTCTGCACATCAAATCTTATCAATACCACTAGTGCAAAGATAATGTACTTGCGATAAATAGACCCCAAATGAATTATTGTTCCATCACGTCCTGTCTCATGAGCCAGTGAAGTGATTATTGTGACGAGTTAAACAGTGACAAATACACACAGCTCCGTCAACACGTGCCTCTTTCAGCTGTTTATGTCTATGGAGCTCAGAACGTGTATTGGATTTACACAAAGTCTGTGATAAAGTGATGTTGAACAGGCCACAGTTCTGTAAAGCCACAAAACACAAATCCACATCAACACTGCGCCTTCAGCTGTTAGCATTGCCAGGCTAGCTACCTGCTCAGTAAACAGCGGCTGATAAAGTGAGAGTAGAGCTGCTCCGCCTGTTTAAAGTCGTGTTGGTGGAAGTGTGAGTGCGCCTCCCGCAGAGTGTCGCTCAGATCCGGCTCCTCCATGCGCTCGGATCACACTAAAGTGCAGTTTAGGAGCAAAAGTGTGCGCCCCGTCACGGAGACACAGTGAACACGGAAGTGCAGTGACGTCACGGGGGAGCTCAAGCCAATCAGAGCTCCGTGCGTCTAATGGGCGTGGTTTAATAGTGCTATGTTCACAGATGCAAAAATGAAGCAGACCAAGAAAAGAACACTGTCCTTACTATGAAACAAGGAGGAGGCTTGGTTTTGTTCTGGGGCTGTTTTGCTGCATCTGGCACAGGGCGTCTTAAATCTGTGCAAAATACAACAAAATCTCAAAACTATCAAGGTGTTTTGGACCAAAATGTGTCACATAGTGTCAGAAAGCTTGGTCTCAGTTGTAGGTCATCAGATTTCCAACAGGATAATGACCCAAAACACACAAATAAAAACACACAAGAATGGCTAAGAACAAAACATTGGACTGTTCTGGAGTGTTCTTCTGTGAGCCCAGATCTCAATCCTACTGAACATCTGTGGAAGCAGCTGAAACATGCGTCTGGAGAAGGAACCCTTCAAACCTGAGACAACTAGAGCAGTTTGCTCACAAGAAATGAGTCAAAATACCAGTTGACCAGAGCAGAAGTCTCACTGACAGTTACAGAAATCATGTGTTTGCAGAGTTTGCCTCAAAAGTTTGTGCAACAAAATATAAAGTTAAGGTACCATCATTTTTGTCCAGGCCACTTTCATTATTTAGTTTTTTCTAATGATTCTAATGAACCACAGCTGAAAAACAATGTTTAATTTTCACTGGGCAATTTTTAGTACATTTTTATTTATTATTGCTTTTATCAGTTTCAAGTTATTTCAGTGATGATTGTCGATTTTTCTTTCATTGCCAGAGGGGTACCAACTATTTTGTCCATGACTGTATATGTATAAGAAATCCTACCAGTAGCTTGAGAGGTCTGAAGGACACACAGAGGCTCACCCTGGCTGCTCAGAGCAGGCCCTGGGCACCCGAGCAATAGAGACCCAGATCTAATACACCAGATAAGAGCCACAGTGTAGGCTGTGCAAAGAGGCTCCTTAGAGCCTGGAAGTCTCTTACATTCCCAAGTTCATATGTGCATAGACCCATTTACAGCCCACACCAAATCAATGATTCTCTGTGGTCCCTGAGAGCAGAACTGAGGCTCTGAGCTGCTCAGTCAAATAAGTGAAAGAGAACACTGACAGCTTGGATGGCCAAACTTGCTTTTTGGAGATGACTGAATAGTTTTGAATGTAAAACAGCATTTTGCTGAGATACAATTGTGTTTAGTAAAACTGCAACCCTGTTTGGGATTCTGTGTGGGCTGTTTTGCAAATGTCATTTTTCAGTAGGTAAGTCTGTCAAAGCACAGTTAAAAGTATTGACATTGTTTCTCACCTTTTGCTCTCCTGAAGTTGTATTTGGAGTAATTCTTGCATGTCTAAGCATTCTTCAGTCACTTATTTTCAAGATACCATATTGCCAGTCATCATACTTCATTCTACAATTTTGGTAGTGTTGTGTAGTAATTTTAGTACAAATGAAAAAATAAAAAATAAATCTGCAACTTACTAGTGTGATGTGCAGCTTTGTTGTGATGACATTTAGGATGATGTCAGCTCCCATTGGGCACCACAGTTTTCTAACAGAGAAGTATACAGCACATACAAGCACAATAGGTCTACTTTAAATGTCACATACTCTAGTTCTATTTCATAAATATATTTCAAAATATTAAAACAGAAAACATAACAAACTGACCTAAATATGAGCCCTGTCCTAAATACCAAAGCAGGGCCCATAAACGCGGTGGTGGGACATTCTGTGAGTGTGAGTCCAGCTGCAAAACTCTGTGATTTTAGTGCAAAATGACACTTAAAAATCAAAGGGCGATTTACTTTTAGCTCCCATGACCTCAGAGCAGCCGACCCACTAACTCTGAAAATGTGGCTCAAGCGCTAAAGAAGTCATAAACAGAGAGAGCAGACTTCAGAACATAACTATGGTACTACAAAAGTGTTCTTGAATGCTCGTATTGATGCAGCAGTTGATGTCATCAAAATGCAATGAAGGTGTGATTCTAACTGTAGGCATGTTCTGTGTGAGTTGGACTTTAATCTGAGTTTTATTTTAACACAGTCTGACCAAAAAAAATAACATTACAGTCACAAGATGGCTAGCATTAGCCAACAGTTGTTCATTTAGTCACTCTAACTTTTTGTTTTTGTAAATCCAACTCCTAAATATAAACATATGTCTCCATGAACAGTTGGTAGTCAAGGTCAGTTAAATCCAATCAATCCAATCATTGTGTGTCCTTAGGCAAGACACATTGCCTAGTATGAAAGTGGTGTGTGTGTGAGTGATGGTGGTGGTCGGAGGCACCGATGGCGCAGAGTGGCATTGCAGCCGCGCTTCTGTCAGTCTGCCCCAGGGCAGCTGTGGTTACAATAGTAGCTTACCATCACCAGGTATAGAGTGAATGAATAATGCTGAATAATGCTCTGTAAAGCGTCTTTGGGGACAGAAAATGTCTGTGAAAAGCGCTATATAAATAAAGACTTACTTACTTACTTACTAAACAAGACCATGAACTGTCCGATTTATCACAGGTTCCTGGAAATGTGCTGTTTTTGTATTTTTTCTTGAGTTTTCAAATCAGATGTGTCACCAGGGCAACTGCTGAACATTACAGCTATATAAAATACATAAAAATAGTGTTGTTTTTTTTTACACATTTGTGCAAAATGTTCAATGCTCATGTGACCAACAAGTCAACACTGATTCTCTGGGAGGTTACTTCTGGAATAAGGTGAATATGGCTCCAATATTCTTCTTTTGTACAGTGTTTAGTAGGAGGTGTTGTTCTAGAGTGCAAACCACACATGATCAGATTTGAATGGGACCTGTTGTCAGTGGTGGACTGTACTTAAGTGTACTTAAATACAAATATAAGTATCTTTACTTTAGCTAAGGATATTGTAAAGTAGATACTTAACTTTTACTTAAACCATTTCAACCCACTGGCCACAATTGTGACCACCAATATATATGAATATATTTTCAATTAATTTTAAATATTTTCTGGAAGAATAAAGGGCTGTGATGAAATGTGTGTGTGCCAAATCACATGTTTACTGTAAATGGATCCATAAACAGAGATGGTTCTGTAAAATTTACACCTTTAGGAGAAGATGACACCCAGAATTCTCTCAAATAAAAAGGATGTAATAATGTGATTCAAATTTAACTAGGAACTATTCATTCATTAATCATTGCATTTATACAGCACCTTTCAAGATACCCAAAGACGCTTTACAGATCATTATTCATTCACTTGACACTCAGTGGTGGTAAACTACTAATGTAGCCACAGCTGCCCTGGGGCAAACTGACAGAAGTGAGGCTGCCACTCTGCGCCATTGGCCCCTCTGACCACCACCATCACTCATGCACACACCACTTTCATACTAGGCAGTGTGGGTGAAGTGTCTACTATGATTTTTGTACACCTTAAGGGTTTCTAGTAATGACAAATTGCTCCACTTTTTTTTTGGTCTGAGTGTAGGCTGCAGGAAAACATGTTGGAACTAACATAAGAACATAAAACACGTCACAATAGACAAACACACAAGCATGACATACACTGACATTTACACAGGAGCAGAACATTAGTGGTTACAGATCTGGTGTTTCTTAAGCTTAGTTTCAGATTAGTTTTAAATGAACTGAATGTGGTGGCGTCTCTTATTGTAGCTGGGATGTTGTTCTAGATTTCAGTTTCCTTGACTGATCACACCTGTTGACTGAATGTTGTGCGTCTAAAGCAGGGTTCTCAAACTCAAATTACCTAGTGGCCACATTAGATAAAGTCTGAGTGAGGCTGGGCCACATTGAGTATTCGATAAATAGCGGTTGCACAGGAAAAAAAGAGAGAGAAAGAACAACACGCAACACACTTTCATAATCTTTAATAACAGTTCAGAACATGAAAATGTATTCAGAACGTAAGTTTAAACTAATACGTCTACTCTTCTTCTTTTGCCTACTCCTTGCTGGTTGAAACCTGGCTACGCTTCATCTTGCACAGGTGAGAGATATTTGGTTTGCAGGAGGAAGCATATGAGGTCCTCAGGATAGATTGAAGATGCTCATCAGTGAGCCTTGACCTGTATTAGGTGCTTTCAAACCGACAGTATTTGGTGCGCACCAAACGGTCCATTCGAACCAAAAGTGGTTAGTTCGGTTCGTTTGCGTTGGTGTGAAAGCGTCAATCGGACTCTGACCCAGACCAACTCAAGCGGACCGAGACCGCAAAAAAGAGGTGGTCTCGGTTCGCTTAAATCCGCACCAAATGACCAACTTTGGTGCGGTTCCTCTGGTGTGAACGCGAACCCGGGTCCAAACCATAGACAGCAGGTCCAAACGAACTATTCGAAATGCATCATGGGAGAAACACGTCTCCTTTGCCTGTAATGACGCGCTGTACGACTCCAGCGCAGTAACAGATTGTTGTCCAGATGCAGCCGCGATTCATTTTCGAATTATTTTACCAACAATGGCCAATACAGAGAATGTAACACACGAAGATCAGAGCAAGTACGTGCGAACGTGTGGCTCCAGAGTGAGTCAAAAAAGGGGGTGTGTACTTCTGTTCAGGATCTGCACAGAGACTTAAAGAGTCTGTTTACATAATATAGGACCTTTATGTCGTTTTAGATCAATATTGCAGTTTGCAATCAACAAAATGTAAAGTACTGATCTTCACACCATATACTACCAAGAAGCAGAAGACACGTTGTGTAAGGTTGAATGTCCATGGTCAGTGTGTATATGTGAGTTGTGTGTTTATGTGCAGAGGTTTGCGTGAGGAAAATGGAGCCATATGACTGTGATAAATGAGTGTGTGTCCTGTGTTTTTACTGTATGTGTACAGATGGAATGTGTGTGTGTGCTGTCAGAGCTCACACCTCTGCACCAGCCCACATCAGTCTGTATGAGTCTCCACATCCATCTACTGTCACTATACATCAGTCTACATGAGTCTACATTCAGTGTACACGACCAGTCAAAC